CAGTTGACATTAGAAACCAGAACCTGTGAGTAGCACCAAGCACGCGGTTGCCTGAAGGTCCCAGCAGTTGTCACTGTGCCACAGGAGCTGAGAGGGCGGCGTGCAGATCCACCCGGGCAGTGGCTGGAGGGTCCCGGGGCTGGGGTGGGGGCCGGGGTGGCCACGGAGATGCTTCTGACTAAACCAGTCCATGGCCAGGACGGAGAGAGGCCACACACTGCCTGAGGATAAGGACGGACTCACGGAGTGGCGGCTTTGAAAGCTGTTAACACACCCACGCGCGCACACACCATGGAGTTTGGAAAAAGGAAAAGACTGGATTGAAATATGCCAAAGATGTTAATACTGGTTCTCTTTCAGTTATAAGAATATATTTTTTATTTCTAAAAATTAATAACATGATGCAGCAAAAGAAATAATAAATAAAGTTTACAAATGTGCCAACGGTCATCCTGAGAGTGTAAGTAAAAGTCAATTTTCTCCTTTTGGGCTTTATTTTCCAAATCTCTCTTATAGAATTACTTTCATTAATAGTAATTTTTTAAAAGAATTTAAAAGAATTCTAAGCATTTCTAATCCCAAATGTGGAGTAATTTTGAGTTTCTGTAGAGACTGAGGCTTCAACACAATGGCTGCATTTCTGAATCCACAGATTTCACAATTACTGGTGTTTTAAAACCTTATTTGCCATGTTGGTTACATCACAATAAAAAGTCACCCTGCTTTGCTCTCTACTTTATCTCATCGACCTTTGATCTCCTCAGATTTTCCTCCTTTAACTTAGTTTTTCTTTTTTAAAAGTCAGACATTTGAAATTTTCACTTGGCAATGATTCTAAACCTATAGATAAAAATAATATTGCACACACTGGACACAGACACGGACACTGCCCTGCTATCTGTGCCATCAGCGAACAGTCATCACGGCCCTGGGCTATCTCCATCCTTGCCATGAAGATCCATGTCAGATAAAGAAACACTTAAGATCCAACTCTCCAGCCTCCCCCGCAGCTTTTCTCCCCCGGTTCCTTGTCCCCCTCCCACCCCAGCTTGGTCCCAGTAACTTGTGTACCAACTACGCTCTGTGTTGTTGCTGATCGGACCACCATTGCCTCTGACACTCTGGATGCTGCGGAGTCTAAAAAACCTTTTATTCCTGATGCAACAACTCCACAGGAAATGGAACTCCCAGGTCTTTTGTAGGGTTTCAGCCACCTTGGGTCTGGGTGAGCGGACTGCTGGCAAAGGCCTCTAATTAAGTCTCCAGGAGCTCACTTTTCTGTTTACCCTTCTTTAGAGAAGCCCCTCACACTGTTTGTCCAGGTTTTACGAACTCTCCAGTTTGTGGGATAAAGTCCAAAGGCCTGAACACAGGGCCTCCCGCAATTAGCTTTCCAGACCTGTCCGGCCACTCAAAGTAAATCCACCTTTCCATTCCTATCCTCTGGGACCTTTGCACCTGCTGGTCCTGTCCTGGGACATCCCTCCCTTCCCCCTTTAGTGTGCCCAAATGACACATGGCATTTCTCCTTCAAGACCTCACTCACTTGGGCACCTGGGTGGCTCAGTGGTTGAGTGTCTGCCTTTGGCTCAGGGTGTGACCCCAGGGTCCTGGGATCGAGTCCCACATCGGGCTGCCCACAGGGAGCCTGCTTCTCCCTCTGCCTGTGTCTCTGCCTCTCTCTGTCATGGGTAAATTAATAGATAAAATCTTGAAAAGAAAAAAAAAAAAAAGACCTGACTCGTGCCACATCTCTTCTTGACCTTCTTTTTGTGGCCCTTCCTCCCAGGAGGGGCTGACCCAGGAGGGGCTGAGCGTTCCTACGAGTGCTGAGCTGTATCCACACCTCTGGACTGTCAGCTCCAAGAGCACGGGGGCTGGCCTATATTCATCTCTGTGCTCCTCTTGCACCTCTGTTCTGCTTTGGCTCAGCACCAGAGAAACAGAAGCTGCTCCATGCTGGCAGAGCAAAGGCTGAAGGACCCAGCGCATGGGCCACCACCTCCCTTCGATAGCATCTTCCGTCCCATGTCATTCCTAATGCCCATACCCTGATATGCTCACAGCACTTATCAGTGCCAGAAATCACAGTATTTTTTTTACCCCCCCCCCCTTTTTTTAAGATTTATTTATTTGAGAGAGAAAGAGAGAGAGCAGGAGCAGGCAGGGCAGAGGGAGAGTAGAGAGGATCTCAAGTAGACTCTTGGCTGAGCACAGAGCCAATGTGGGGCTGGATCTCAGGACCCTGAGATCATTTCCTGAGCTGAAACCAAGAGTTGGATGCTTCACCAACTAGCCACGCACCCACCCCTTCGTTCACCCTTCTACATTTCTGTACCTCCTCTAAGGCAAAAATTCCTTAAGGGCAGGGTCTTAGTCTCATCTGGATCCACTGGGCCTAGAATGCCTGGGACCTAGTAAATACTATAAAAATTTGTTAAATAAATGGTAATAAGAGGAAAATAAGACCTATAATGAAGGGTTTTGTGAGGATTAAATAACAAAGTGGGGGTATATAAAGTATGTAACACAGAGCCTAGCAGTAGTAAGCTCAATAACACTAGCTAGTGCTATTACTATCCAGAAGAAGGTGAGCTCAACATTGGGAAAAGCAGTTACCAAAGTTTTAAGGAGGAAGCATCATGAGTTTAATCTGGAAGGTTAAGGATTTTTCAGATGAGTACCGAGGTGAGGCATTGCCCGGTTTGAAGCTTCTTCCCTTGTCTGAGCCACCCCTCCCCCATAAGTTCTTCACACTTCCATTAACTGCAGAGTCATCACACTAAGAATGGTCTATCAGCCAGCCTCTCTCTACCCATCCATTAATCCACTTACCTTTCATTGCCATACCACCAGAGCCCAAGACAGATTTCACTACAAAAGGGCACACAATAATGTCATTAACTTCTGAAATCTATAGACCACCAATTCAGTCTATGATCTATCCTAAAGAATAGTCAACTGTCAGGATGCCTGGGGGGCTCAGGGGTTGAGCACCTGCCTTTGGCTCAAGGCGTGATCCTGGAGTCCTGGGATCAGTCCTGCATCGGATTTTCTGCAGGGAGCCTGCTTCCCCTCTGCCTGTGTCTCTGCCTCTCTCTGTGTCTCTCATGAATAAATAAATAAAATCTTTAAAAAAAAAAAAAAAGAGTCAACCGTCACACTACAAATCACATACAAGGATGTTCACTACAACATGGCTTGTGAGGGTGGAGAAATTAGAAGCACCCAGAAGGATCACCCACGGGGAAAAGATAAACACACTGCGGTATGCACATGGTATGCATCCACATTGTACAGAGGTTAAACGGAACAAGACGGATGCTTACATACTGAGCTGAAACAATCTCTAAAACACAGTTGTATTGAAGGAAAAAAACGTTGCAGAATATACACTATGTGATTTCATTCATGTGAAACAAAACTAACATTTTAAAACTACACACATACAAAACCTAAAGATTTCTCTGGATGCACGCACGCACACACACACACACACACACACACACACACACCTTTTTTTGGTAACCACGGTATTTTCAGCTCTTCAACACCATGCCTGAAACACAGTGACTTCAATAAATGTTTGCTGAACAAATGGAGACATATGTAAATAAATAGAAAAGGATTACAAAGTGCATCTGCTTTTCATGCTTGATACTTCTGTACTGTTTGCATTTTTAAGTGACTGCATTAACGTGTTACTTGTGTAATTAAAATGAATCCAAAGTACTTCTTAAAAAAAGAAAAGTCGCAGGGGGCGCCTGGTTAAGTGCTCTTGATCTCGGCTCAGGGTCCTGAGTCCCCGTCGGACTCCACCGTGGGTGTGGAGCCTGTTTTTTAAAAAAAAAAAAAAAAAAAGTTGCAGGACCCGAACAGACCGTACAGAGATCCGCACGCTCTGAGTGACTTCTCTCTGGGCAATTAATCAGCCTGGGCAATTCGCGCTCTTACGCGGCAGCAAGTCGACGCTCACTTTACGTCGCCAGCTTCAGATTCCTCAGCACCAAGATGAATGGGAAAGTGTCCTGCAGACCCGCCGGGGCCCCCGCCTGTCCTGGGGCTGGCTGCTCGCGGTAGGATCCCGACTCCCCCCGGGCTGGGGCTGGGGCTCCGCGCCCCGCGCCCCGTCCCCCGCGGACGCCGGCCGCCAGGTGGGCGAGCAGGGGCCGCCAGGTGGGTGTGCGCGCCCCGCGCCCCGGAACGACACTTACTGTCCTGTCCGACCGGCCTCTTCTCTGGCTTACGGCTGCAGCATCGTCCTCCGGGGGCACCGAATCCTGGAGTCACCTGGTGGGGGCGGAGGGGGACAAGGGCGCCGTGAGCGCGGCATCTCTGCGGCCGGGCGCCCCCACCGGGACAGGCCCGGGACCCGCAGCCCTCGCCCGCGGGTGGGTCAGACGCGCGCCACGGGCCCCGGAGCCGCGCTCGCACCCCGGCGGGGCCGGTCCTCCCCGGGGCTCCGCTACCTCGGGCCGGGGCGCTGCGGACTCGGTCTGCGGCCTGCAGCGAGCGCCGGGAGGGCCGCGGGGCGGGCGCGGAGATGCGGACCCAGGGCGCGCCGGCCGCGGGCGGGGAAGGTGCGGCGCGGCGCGGCGGGCGCCGGCTCCGGGCCCGGGTCCGCGCCTGGCTCCCGAGCGCCGGATCCCAGGCGTTACAGCCGCGCCGGGGGTGACCTCTGCCCCTGGAAAATCGACCCGAGGCGCGCAAGGGCCTCCCATTGGTCTCAACCGCCCGCGGGCCCGGGGCGGGGGGCTTCCCGTGGGGGAGGGGGCCGAGGGCGGGGCGCCGGTGTCCATCGCAGGCCACGCCCCCCAGCCCGACTCCCGCTCCGGCCCCGCCCGTTGGGGGCGGGACCCTTGTGCGCCACGCCGAACCCTCGTCTCCTCCCCGGGGGATTCTATTGGCTGGAAGGCCGTGGGAAGCTACTGCCAGCAGCCAATTGAAACGCAAGATGCCCCCCCCCCCCCCCGCTTCCTCAGGAGCCAACAGAGAAGAGGAACAGCGAAGCGCTTCCGGAGGTCGGGGGTCGAGGGAAGATGGCGGCCGCCAAAGGGGGCTGGTGCCTGTGCGAGTTACTGAGGTGAGGAGCGCGGTGGGGCGGGTTTGCAGGCGTTTTCTTTCGCGGGGACACTTGTCCGCCTCGTGCAACTGGGACTTGCGGGGAGGGGGTCTTCCTGCCCCGGCCCTAGGCTGTGTCCTCAAAGACAGCGCTTTCCTCTCACTCGGAGTTTCCAGTCAGACTGGAGCTGACCGGATCAAAGACTCCGTTTACCGCCTCGTCTCGGCCTGCCCCGTGTGGTGAGGGCCCGCGTCTCCCCTCTGGTGTTCCTCTCGCCTTCGCTCTCCTCGCTCGGCCACGGATCGCTCCTGCTCTCTTCTCCTCTTCCTGTGTGACCGAGCCACGAAGCCCTCTCCGAACTACCGCGTCTGTCCCTTCGGGGGCGGAAGGGCTCTCCCTCTCCCGTCGTGGCCGCCCCTCCTCACCGACACGGTCATGGTCAGACGTCATCGACTTCGTCAGCTTTGGAGACAAAACCACTGTCCTACCAGCGGCAATGGCCTGGTTTTGGCCTTGGTTTTCCGCGAAGAGCAGAGAGGCACGGGCTCCGGCGGAACCGAAGGAGAGGGCCCCCGGCTCCCGGACCGGAAGCTGGGGGGCGGGGCGGGCGGGGTGAGTGACACCCGAGGGAAGCGCGGGGGGGGGGGGGGGTCTCCTGGCGGCTCCAGGCTCGCTCTGGGAGATGCGCGCGCACCCCCCGTCAGATCCCGCGGGACGGGAAGCTGGGGGGCGGGGCGGGCGGGGTGAGTGACACCCGGGGGGGGCGGGGGGGTCTCCTGGCGGCTCCAGGGACGCTCTGGGAGATGCGCGCACACCCTCGGCCCGCAGGTCCCGCGGGACGGGAAGCTGGGGGGCGGGGCGGGCGGGGTGAGTGACACCCGAGGGGAGGGAGGGGGCGGGGGGGTCTCCTGGCGGCTCCTGGCTCGCTCTGGGAGATGCGCGCGCACCCCCCGTCAGATCCCGCGGGACGGGAAGCTGGGGGGCGGGGCGGGCGGGGTGAGTGACACCCGAGGGGGGGCGGGGGGGGCGGGGGGGTCTCCTGGCGGCTCCTGGGACGCTCTGGGAGATGCGCGCACACCCTCGGCCCGCAGGTCCCGCGGGACGGGAAGCTGGGGGGCGGGGCGGGCGGGGTGAGTGACACCCGAGGGGGGGCGGGGGGGCGGGGGGGGGGGTCTCCTGGCGGCTCCAGGGACGCTCTGGGAGGTGCGCGCCGGCGGCGGGGTCTGCGCAGGGCACCTCCCCCCCGAGGACTCCGTGTCGGGGCGTGATGCTCGGCCTTCGTGGGACGGAGGGATGGGGCTCCGCGCTGGCCTCCTGACCGGTTTTAGTTCACAGATAGAAAGTTCATGCTGAATCCTCAGCTCCATGATTATCCGCTGATCTTTATTTCTGGTTGATGGAAGAATAGTTACATAAAATTTTATCACATAGACACTACATTGTTTCTTGTAAAAAAAAGTTAGGAAATAGAAAAGAAAAAAGAAAAAATCACCAGGCATGCTACCATCCAGAGATAACGACTGTTAACATGTTGGTGGGGGGAAAAAAATACTTTTTTTCCTACATTTGTTCTAGTAATACTACTGTATTTTACATGTCTTGCCGTGTATTTATATATTTATATAAAAAGAAGACCTGAAAAAAAAAAAAAAGAAGACCTGGTATATTCCATCTACACAGGTCTGTAACACCAACCTATTTTTGTTCAGGTTGAAAATTTGTAATTAACACATAGCATCCCGAATAGCAGTATTCTCTCCAAACTTTGGGTATTATTTCTTCACTTTTGTCTCCTCTACTTCAGATTCTATAATGATTACTTAAAATATTTTGAACAGGAAATTCTATTTTCAGAGGCTTCATGTTCTTCCTTGCCATTTGAAACATCCATAATTCAGTGCTTTGCACATTATAATGGCTAAATAAATGTTTGTTGAATGAATGACTCACTGTTGATTGCAGTTATCTGTTTTTAAAAATATTTTATTTATTCATGAGACGCACACACAGAGAGAGAAGAGAGGCAGAGACACAGGCAGAGGGAGAAGCAGGCTCCATGCAGGGAGCCCGATGTGGATCCTGGGTCTCCAGGATCACGCCCTGGGCAGAAGGCAGGCGCTAAACCACTGAGCCACCAAGGGATCCCTGCAGTTATATTTTTTAAAGCCTTGTGTTTCTATGATAAACATTATTTAATGGCACATATTTTTAGTTATATTTAAATAAATTCTAAAATTGGTAGTTTTTTTTTTAAAGATTTATTTATTTTAGAGGCGGGGAGAGGGGGAGAGAGAACCCTTCACAGACTCCCTGCTGAGCCCAGAGTCTGATGAGGGTCTCCATCCCAGGACCCTGAGATCATAAACTGAGCTGGCACTTAACTGACTGAGCCACCCAGGTGCCCATAAAATGAGTAGTTTTAATGTGCAAGCAATACAGGGTGTTTAATAAATTTATCTATAGAGTCTGAGTCTTCAAAACTAACAGACTTAATAAAGGACTGGCTCAACTTTAGTCATTAATATGGGGTTTTTTTCCTGATTTTTAAAAAAGATTTTATTTGTTTATTCATGAGAGACACACACACAGAGAGAGAGGCAGAGACATAGGCAGAGGGAGAAGCAGGCTCCACACAGGGAGCCCGACGTGGGACTCGATCACGGGACCCCAGGATCACACCCTGGGCGGAAGGCAAGTGCCAAACCACTGAGCCACCCAGGGATCCCTGGTCAGCCACATTTTAAGTTAAATGGGTTTTTGGCTTGTCCTGGGAAAGCTGTATAATATTGCTTTAATGAATTCATATATTTCAAATGTTAAATAAATGATAAATGTTTCCACTTCTGTCAAACTCTGTTCATCCTTTAAGGCAATGGTTCTCAAAGTACAGTCATAGACCCTAGCAGGTCCCCAAGACCCTGTTAGTAGTTCTTCAAGGTTAAAACTATTTTTATAATAATTGAAAATAACATTTGCTTTTTCATTATGTTTACATTTGTACTATAGTGCAAAAGTAATGGTGGATAAAACTGCTATTTAGCGCAAATGGAGGCAATGACATCAAAGTGTTATAATAGGAGTGAGTTCACCAATGTGTGTGAAGTAGGTTGTTGGTGCATTTTTGGCAACTTGCTTAGAGGTACAGGAGGGAAGGCAGTTATTTCAGGGTCATAGAAACAGATTAAATGCAGAGCTTTTAATAGAAGTGGAGGTATCTAAGTTCCTCTTGCCCCAGAAATGGTTCTGTTTGAGGTGAAGTGACAGAATAAAAATGATTTACTATTTCATCAGACTTTTTTTTTTAATTTGATTTTTTATTCTTATTATTATTTACGAAAGTCCTAGAGAGAGAGAGAGGCAGAGACACAGGCGGAGGGAGAAGCAGGCTCCATTCACGGGGAGCCTGACGTGGGATTCAATCCCGGGTCTCCAGGATCGCGCCCTGGGCCAAAGGCAGGCGCCAAACTGCTGCGCCACCCAGGGATCCCCAGACTTTTAACTAATTAGAAGTCTGTGTCATAAAATTTGAGGATCAATTGCCATTCCTAATCATATCTTGTTTAGCTTAGTAATTAAATTTGTTATTAATCATTTAACACATATACTGTTAGGAGAAAGGTGGCTCAACATTGATTTTTCACTGCCAATTAAAAAGAAAAGTTATACTGAATTGGTAGCATCCTATGGAGATCAGAATTAAGGAGGATTTGCCCTTCTGACATTGGACATTTTGTGTGTTAGAATATTAAAAGTTGAGTATGTTGTTAGCAGACTCCCAGCTATAAAACTTTTGTGTTCACTATTAATGTATAAGGTGGCTATGTAAAAGTAGACTTTAATTTGTAGTTTCTTTAGAATGGGCATTTTGTTGATTTTTACATTTTCCTTCTTGTTTCAGATTTTTTTGTTCATTATTCCTCCCTGGGCTAACAGTCTGTGGAACTTTATGTGTATGTCTGTTCGTTATCCTCTGGGGAATCAGACTGCTGCTACAGAAAAAGAAAGAGTCAGTATCAACCAGCAAAAATGGGAAGAAGCAAACGGTGGTTGCATTTTTTCATCCATACTGCAATGCCGGTGGAGGAGGAGAAAGAGTTTTGTGGTGTGCCTTAAGGGCCCTGCAGAAAAAGTAGGTATGCATCTCTCCTAGCTCATTTACTCTATTATTACCATTAAAGAAAAATCCTTGTCCAGATATTCAGTTTGCTCCACTACCTTCTTTGTAGCCAGGAATTAATTGTTCTTCAATAAGGAAATACTTCTGTTATATGCCAACCTGCATTACAAGAGCATGTTGAATTTTAGTTGATATGATAAAAAAAAAATAGGAAGGGAAAGTCTGCTTTTTGATGGCAAAATGTAGTGGGGATAACTGTCTTCTTGGAAGAATGTGTGGAGAAGAAATAAACAGAAATAGACTAAGTAATGGGGAGTACTTTAAACCTAAACACTTTTAGTCAGTAGTGGCCGCAGGAAATAATGTCTGTGAAAGTGTTTGTTTGATTCTGAGGTTGATACCATTACCAGTTAGATAGTCTTAAGTTACCATGTTAGGGTCATTTAAAGTTTGAGGCTTCTTTCTCCCCACCCACATCCCCATCCCCACCCCCAAAATGTTTATGATTCCCTTTTAAAGAGGAACAAACATAATAAAGTAGAAGTTCCATTGATGATTGTATCATAGGAGGAAAACTATTATTCTTCTATGGTTACACTGCTTCCTGGCACATGCCCTTCATCCAGTTCCTGAGCCCTCGCACGGAATTCCCTTCGCTTTACATTTCTATATTCTCGGCTCATCCTGGCTCCCAGCCTCCACCCCCAGCATTTCCTTTGCCATCTTCCATAACTGCCCAGATCCAAAATATTTTCTTAAATCCCAGCGTAATGGCCTCCTGCTTCAGGCCTTCCCTACTCCCACTCTAATTCCTCCTGTTCTTTGCTTCTCATAACTCTGTGCATTAACTTGTCGAACTGGATTATCTAGCTCTTGAGGGCAGTAGTAAAGTTTTGTGATAGCTCTACCATACACAGATCTTAGATTTTAGCTGAGAGAGAGACAAGATAATAAACAAAGAAAAATATCAAGTGGTGAGAAATGCGGCGAGAGAAATTAAAATAGGATAACATGAGAGTAATTCCATACTTTAGGATGAGTGATTAGGGAAAATCTCCAAGGAGGTAACACTTAATGGAGTCTAAATGACAAAAGCAGCTGACATTTACTGAGCACTTACCTCTATGCCAGGCATTGCCTGGAGTGCTTTACATGCCGTAGCTCACTCAGTCCTCACTACAACCATATGAGGTTGTTACTCTTACCCTCATTTGACAGGTGAGGAAACTGAGTTAACCAGAGTCCATGTTGTAAACCACATGCCATACTGTCAGCCTCGGGAAAAGACAATGAAGGGAGAAAAATTCAAAGCAGAGGGGATTATAAGTTCCCTAAAACAGGAAGGACCTTGGCTTGTTCACAGAAAGGAATCCAGTTTGGCCGACCGTGCGGGCATATGAGACAGTGGAGGCCTCATGTTACACAGGACTCGAGTGAGCAGGGTAAGGAGTTTAGGTTTAATTCTAAATGCTGTGGAAAACTGTATGAGGATTTCAAACAGAGAGATGACATTCTGCTGACCTGTTGCTGTAATGGCTAAAACAAGAATTTATTGTTGTTTCTAACAGTTTAGACATTGACAGGCGCTGTTGGGAATCCCTCATCCCAAGCAGCTGCATTAGATGGCAGCTGGGGCCCAGTCATCTGAAGGCCTTTGCTAACCTGTCTGCTTCCTGGGCTGGGACGGTGGCAGCAGCTCCTGTGGGTGAGGGTGTGGGATACGGGTCAGGCATCTCTGTCGCCCCGCAGCCTCTGCACATGACGGCCTTAGGCTGGCACACAACACAGCAGTCTCAGGATACTGGACTCCTCATGTGACAGCTGACTTCTCTAGAGCGAAGTAGAAATTGCCGCTCTTAGAGCCTGGGTCTAGAAACTGGCAAGATGTCACCTTTGATATAGGCTAATGGTTAAAAGAGTCACAGAGCCCACTGTTATTCCAGAGGAGGTGGCGTAGATCCCACCGCTCGACAAATGTCAAAGAGTCTGTGGCCATCATCTTTAAGCAACCAGAGGCAGATGCAGGCACCAGATCTAGCTTGAAGAATCTTGTTGCATGTCTCAGATAAAAACACTGAGTGATGCTTTAGCATTTACAATTCTATCTAAAGATACATTTAGTAAATTTTAACTCTTGTTTCTGAATGTTATTAATATTTTAGTACCATTTTTATATTGAGAAATTTGTCAAAATAAAGTTTCTGAATATTTCTTAAAGACAGAAATGTCGATCAGCAATTTTTGTTGATGTCTGCTCTATGCGAAAGTCTTAGAAGAGGAAATAGCAAAGAACTAGAGATCTCATTTGGAGGACTAACATTTCACTCGCAGGGCAGCAGAAGACTCAGGAAAGAGGAGAACGAGTAGACCAAGAACAATGAATGAAAGACGTGGAAAACCTTTTTTTCAGTCTAAAATAAGGTTGCTTTTAGTAACCTTGTGAGAAAATAATTATCTGCAACTTTTTGCTAGGTTCTCACCTACACTAAGGAAGACCTTAAGTATTACATTCTATTTTAGGTACCCTGAAGCAGTTTACGTCGTTTATACTGGTGATGTCGACGTCAGTGGACAGCAGATACTAGAAGGCGCTTTCCAAAGATTTAACATCAAACTCACTCACCCAGTGAAGTTTGTCTTCTTAAGGAAACGCTACCTTGTGGAAGATTCACTCTATCCTCACTTCACACTGCTGGGCCAAAGTCTAGGATCCATTTTTCTTGGCTGGGAAGCTCTAATGCAGTGTGTTCCTGACGTTTACATCGATTCAATGGGATACGCGTTCACACTTCCTCTGTTTAAGTATTTAGGTGGTTGTCGCGTCGGAAGCTATGTTCATTATCCCACCATCAGCACCGACATGCTTTCCGTAGTGAAGAATCAAAATGTTGGCTTTAACAATGCAGCCTTCATTTCCAGGAATCCTTTTCTCAGCAAATTAAAGCTCATCTATTATTATTTATTTGCTTTTGTTTATGGACTTGTTGGTTCTTGCAGTGATGTAGTGATGGTCAATTCTTCCTGGACACTAAATCACATTCTCTCACTGTGGAAGGTTGGGAATTGCACTAACATTGTTTATCCACCTTGTGACGTACAGACATTTCTGGACATTCCCTTACATGAGAAAAAGACGACCCCAGGACATTTACTGGTTTCCATTGGCCAGTTCCGGCCTGAAAAGAATCATCCTTTGCAGATCAAAGCCTTTGCTAAGTTGCTGAATAAGAAGGTGGCTGAGCCACTTCCTTCACTTAAACTTGTCCTCATTGGAGGTTGTCGTAACCAAGATGATGAGCTGAGGGTAAACCAACTGAGAAGGCTTTCTGAGGATCTAGGAATTCAAGAAGATGTGGAATTTAAAATAAACATCCCATTTGACGAGTTGAAGCATTACTTGTCTGAATCAACAATTGGTCTGCATACCATGTGGAACGAGCATTTTGGGATTGGTGAGTCTGTCCTTTAAGCAACTCCTTTGGCGCCATGAGAATGTACATTTTTGGTTCTCTTGATACAATGATAATACTGTGGAAGTTTTTATCAAGTCTTCATGCTCTTCCACTGGTCCACCAAGTAAGCTCTTTTCATTTGAGACCCTGCAGGCCATGACAGTATGTAGTCAGTAATAATAGGTGATACTTATTGACAATTTACTGCATAGAAGTCACTGTTGGGATTTTTACAAGTGTTATCTGACTTAATCCTGCTTCATATATATTATTTCCATTTTTTTTATATTTTTATTTTATTTTTATTTATTTTTTTAAAGATTTTATTTATTCATTCATTCATGAAAGATGCAGAGAGAGAAAGAGAGAGAGAGGCAGGCAGAGGCACAGGCAGAGGGAGAAGCAGGCTCCATGCCAGGAGCCTGACGTGGGACTCGATGTCAGGTCTCCAGGATCATGCCCTGGGCCAAACGCAGGCGCTAAACTGCTGAGCCACACCAGGACCCCTCTTATTTCCATTTTACAAATAAACTCAGGCACAGAGAGGTTTTGAACTTGTCCTTGTTCAGCCGCAGGAAGAGGTAGAGCCTGGATCATCCCTCAGCCCCTGCTCTTACCTACCACAGTTTCTCTGCCCCTCCCAACCCCATCTGCAGACCAGTACAGGTTCCCGGCCTAATCTCACTCAAGGACCAAATCTGAGTTCTTGGGTGGAGCCCGGGTAGATGTATTTTGGTAAAGCTCCTTGGGTGATTTTGTTGTACACCAAAAGCTGAATCCGCTGGGCTCCACACAGTACTTCTGTTGGCTCTTCTATTGATTCCCTACGCATTACTAGAATGGCCTCCCCTCCTCTTCCTGCTGAATCCCGTTTAAGTATCTGACTCACCTCCAGTGGTGGCTTTGTGCCTTCCCATGCTCGGTGTTCAGGGAAAATGGAAGAACATAAAAGTGAAGTTTCCTATGCGAAGGCTACAGTTTACCTTCTACTCTTATCAATCCCTGGTTGGTAGCACACGACTAAGCTTAGACATACAGCAAGAACTCTGGTTCAAACCTTCTGCATGGGGTTTGACTTCCTGCGCTTCCTTCCGCAGAGACTTACTGAGCATGCACGGTGCCAGGCTTGTGGTGGGTGTGGGGAAATGACCGGGACGCAAACTGGTGTTCAGAGACCCCCCAGCTCTGCGTGTGATGCAAACCAGTTAAACAGCACTTTACTGGACAGGGTGCTAAGACCTATGTCAGGGCAAGCAGAGAAACACCTGATGTAGATTTGTGAGGTTGGAGAACAATTGCCCGAGGACATGATGTCACTTGTAAGCTGGGACCTGAACAATAATTAGAAGCCAGCCTTGCAAAAGAGGAGAATATCCAGCAGAGGAAACAGCGTTGAGACGGGTGTGACAAAGGGAGCCTTCACAGGCACGCTCAAGGGACGACGGAGGTACAGCTTGCCAAAGGAGCGGGGGGCTGGGGCCAGATCAGGTGGCCGTGTGATGCCAGTGGGAGAAGATAGACTGATTTTAAGTGTTGGATTGAAAAGCTTTCTGTTTCCTCCAGTTCACTCCGGGTGCCACGTGGAGGGGTGGATTGGTGAGGAACAGAGAGAGCCAGACGAGGAAGGCAGGAGGGTGTGTGGGGCTGCCCCGGCACCCTGATGGGGTGGGATCTCAATGTGGCGGGTGAACATGCCCGAGCGGATTCTGAAGCAGGATTGAGCAGGACTTGGTGATGAATTGGGTTTGTTAGGCGAAGGAGAAAGAAGAGTCGCAGGGGACCTCCTGGTGCTTTGAGTTGGACAAGTGTGGTCAGTGGTGGATGGCTTTCCCCTAGAGGTGGACTCCAAGAGGACAGGCAGCTGATGAGCCGGGCTCCTCGCCCGCAGAGTTAGGTGTTGGTGGGACACGGAGGTGTGTGTGCGTCCCAGTGGGCACTGGTCTAGAAGTGCAGGTGAGGGACTTGACCTGGAAACAGAGGAGCTGGCATCACTGTCCCGGTAGTTGCAGAAACCCCACGGATGAGTTACCTCATTGCCTGGGGAAAGTGTGCCCAGGGAGAGGAGGCCCTAGTACAAAACGCTGGAAACAAGAACGGCTCAGAAGTGGGTAGAAGCGGAGCCAACAGAGGAGAAGGGAAGTGGAGGGAGGAGGGAAACCTGATGCTGTGATTTGAACTCCTGAGATTTTGCTTTTGATATCTTTTTACAACTTATCAGTAGCCATTAATCATCTGCCTTCTTGCTCACACTGTATGGTCTTCTGCTTTGTTTCAGTGTCCGCAGTATATCTGTTATAGACTTCCACCTGCTTGTCTGTTTCAGTTAAGAACGAAATAGCATTATTGTGAAGCTTTGAAACTAAAAAACTTTTATTTGGTACTGCAGAATTTTAATAAGCAAATTTATAGACGCAACATTTACTTAAATTTCTCATGAGTGTCTTAATATTTATAGAGGTTTCTGCTCATCCTTGTTCTTATGAACGCTCTCAAAATGTTAAAAGACTACACAGCTTTTGTTTGTTTCTCAGGAGTTGTCGAGTGTATGGCAGCTGGCACAATTATCCTTGCACACAATTCAGGGGGCCCGAAGCTCGACATTGTCGTTCCACACCAAAGAGAGATAACTGGATTTCTGGCTGAAAGTGAAGAAGACTACGCTGAGACCATGGCTCATATTCTTTCCATGTCTGAGGAAAAGAGACTCCAAATCCGAAGCAATGCTCGGGCATCTGTGAGCAGATTCTCTGATCAGGAGTTCGAACTGGCATTCCTGTCATCTATGGAGAACTTACTTAAATAGTGCCGTATCTGTAAAAGTCAAAGGTATTTTATATAAAACAGCTAGACACCTTCATATGTTAGTGTTTTTCTAAAGTTTTTCCGTGTGGTGATAAAGTCAGCCTGAGCAATGTACTCAGCAGTTTGTATATAGACAGGATATTGATTTCAATGGAAACGAAAAAAAGGCAAAATTACCTAAATGGTTTAAATGAAAAAAAAAAAAAAGTAAGATTAGTATTCTGTCTCAAATTCTGAAAAATATGGATCTGAAAGAAAAAAACGAATAGTCTTACTGTTGGTATGACCCGTCTTTTTCCGATCCGATTTGTCAAATCATCGTACTTTAGAAACCAGGAAAGAGAATTTCCCTTTAGAAAAAAAGGAAATGGAGAAAGGGAAATGGAGAGCTGACAATTAGTTGATGAGCACTTAGAATTGTTCTGCCATCTTGGAAACACAGATTTTGGTACATTTAAGTTCTAAATACTATTGTGGATGACCTTCTTGAAGATGCCTAACAGTTTTCTTAAAAGAGAAGAGACACTTGCAGCAGGCTGCATTGCGTTCTAAAAGCTCGCAGGGCCGAGCCAGGCGGACTGTGACCGCTCCGTGGCCGAGGGTCTGCTCACGGAGGCCCCGGTGCTGCCCCAAATCCATCCCTGTCCAGAGCTTGGGATTTGTGAAAGTAGCTTTTTGTGTAGCGCTCCCGGGACACTTGTACCAATCCCTTCACGGTTCCACGTTCCCGGGGGCTGGAAGTCAGCTTTAAGTCAATCAGAAGGTCTGAATGAGAACATCCTGCTAAGTTGTTCTCATAATGATGATGGAGTAACCAGCTCCATCCTCCCGGTCTATGTTAGCAGCATCATACATTGTACGGTGACAAGGTGGCATTTTGAAAAGAGCCCCGGACTGGCAGAATACCTGAGCCTGACCCCACCATCACTATTTACAGACAGCAGACCTCCTACTACTCAGGCTGCTGCTTAATCTTTTTGAAACTCCAGCTCTTCATCTGTAATCTGGAGGTGGTAGTACCTGTCCTCGCTACCCCTTAGTGATTCTGAGATGGAAAGTAAGGGAAAGTACTTTGAAAACTATAAAAGTAGGGATCCCTGGGTGGCGCAGCGGTTTGGCGCCTGCCTTTGGCCCGGGGCGTGATCCTGGAGACCCGGGGTCGAGTCCCACGTCGGGCTCCCTGCATGGAGCCTGCTTCTCCCTCTGCCTGTGTCTCTGCCTCTCTGTCTCTCTCTGTGTGACTATCATGAATAAATAAATAAAATCTTTAAAAAAAAAAAAAAAAGAAAACTATAAAAGTTTTTTTAAAGGTCCCTTTATAAAATAATTTAATTAAGAGTAACAATATATAGTAAATGTCATTTGTGATCAAGCCTCCTTATTAAAATAGTAGGACTCAAGTTAGGTTACTAAGTCAATAGCTAGGACTATGTGCTGACTTGAACAGAACATCTGTGCTGAACGACTAGCACGGAAAGTATGTGGATGTGCAGATATGGCTACAGAGCCCGCGGCACTTGGCATTCTCTGCATACAGAATTCGCTCCTTCTAGATCAGTGAATTGACCTCCAGCCCAGTCTGATACATTTTTGTGTTAGGGGGCATGTGAAAGAGGTCTGGTTTTCCCTCTTTCAAACTCCTCTCATTCAGTCATGGACCCAGCCAGCTCCGTCATCTATTCCTAATTCCACCTTTGACTCATCTGCAGCCTCCTCCTGTCATCAGATCAAAAAGCAGCAAAGCAGAGCCCCAGGATGATGTGCCACCAATATAGCTTTGGGTGGAGATGGTTCAGTTTAGAAAAGAAAGACTGGTCGACATGGAAGCTGGAAGGACCTTACAAATCCTCTGGTCCAGTTTTATTTTCAACTTTACAGACCACGATTTAAAGACCTTAAGACTCCTTCAGTCTCACAAAGCTGATTAAGGGACAAAATCAGGATTATAAGCTGGATGTTCTGACTGCAGCCCACTTGGTTTTCTTATCTTATAGTTAATCTTGGGGCAAGATTCGGCCCACCGCCCCCTGCAGTCACCTGTCTACCCTCAGAAAACCATAGCACTAAAGATAAATTGAAGTAGACTAAGCAGAAGGAAAGGATGCAGAACAGGGAAAAAAAAGATTCTGAAATTCTGTAGAGCATTTTTAAATCCTATTTCTTCAAGATTATTTTTATTTGCCACATACATCACTGGAAACATACTTTGCATATCTCTTCACCCTCCCTATTGCTAATGTGATATTACGTGTTTGTTTGTTTGTTTGTTTTTCTGGAAAGACCAATAACTGTGAAGAGTGTCAAAACAATATGTCAGCTACTGTCTGGGGAACTTCTGAGTGATTATTCATTCCTATAAAACGTTGTTTTTGAATGGTCCTGTTGCGGTATATCCCGAACCCCCAACAGTGGGGATTCACATTCTTATTTGGGTTGTGCATAATAAGATACATGTTCCATGTTCTTTGATAATAATCTGTATATAATATGACTTGGATTTAATAGATACAAAATCTGTTTGTATCTATGATTTAAAGCGATCTTCATGATCTTGGGTACTTTCTCCTTATGGTACATTGGTACCCCCATGCATTCTCCCAATGCTGAATTGTTATCTACTACTAATATTTCTAAGCTCCACATGCTGGGAATTTAAAAAAAGAAAAGGAGGCAGGCAAAGGTGGAGGGAGGGAGGAAAGAAAAAGAACTTCAAGGTAAAACAAAATTGTCTTGCCTCAGGTACCCAAGTAGAATAGGTTGTCAGGTTTAATAGACTTTTTATTTTAATATTTCAGACCTACAAAAAACACTGCAGAGTTTCATACACTTTAATAATTTGCAGGGCTTTTTACAAAGTCATAGACAAAATTATGAGAGTGGCCAGTATAATTGTAAATGCTTTCAGAATATTTGTGTTTAATCATGTAAATGTATCCTAGACCCCAGGACTATAATATGAGTAAGTAGAGTGTCTGCTAAATCTGTCAACATTTTGGGTACAAGGAGAAAGTTATCCACAACAAGAAGTCATGCAAATTTCTAGAATCAAATTATGCCCTTGTAATTTCCCTACCTCAGCTGATTCTTTTTCCTCTGTCCCCATCCTAAGTGTAAGGCCACCCTGGGCCTTAAAGAAGCATCAGTTCTAATGCTTGAGTGCTACATGCTTGCCTGGACTATACATGCTACAAGATACCTAGAAGGGAAGCTAAGAGTTGATACACCACTTAAAAAATGATCAGTTTGATAGCTATGATATATAGTTACCGAGATGCATAATTTTTTCCGAGATGCATAATGTTTAATAAAATTTATTCTAAAAACACATGCAAGTCTAATCAATAGTTTCAACTTAACACATGCAGCTAACCTAAACCCAGAATAAAGTAATCAATTGTGCCTCAAGAACATGATTTAGGTAATTGTGTACATAAGGTGGGTAAGATGAATTAGGAGCTGAAGTAGGGGGCAGCCCCGGTGGCGCAGTGGTTTAGTGCCGCCTGCAGCCCAGGGCGTGATCCTGGAGGCCCGGGATCGAGTCCCACGTCAGGCTTCCTGCATGGAGCTTGCTTCTCCCCCTGCCTGTGTCTCTGCCTCTCTGTGTGTGTGTGTGTGTCTCTATAAATAAATAAATAAATCTTTAAAAAAAAAAAAAAAGAAGCTGAAGTAGGTTGGAAAACCTTGCAGATTTGTATACTTGCCACAGTGGATACTTCCTACTTTATAGCAAAGAACTCAAAATCTGAGCATGAATGATAAGGCTTGGTGGCTATTGGCTAAAGGACTTTAGCCAAGCATCTTGTCATTGGAGCAGACTTGATAGGTTTCTTCTTAAACATTGACCTTAAACATTCATTCTTTTTTCTCTCTCTCTGCCTACAACTTACTGGTCTTTGGGATTTTCAGGAACTGTGTTTCATTTTCCATGCATTCAAATACTGTTAAGTGTTTGTTTAGCACACCAACAGATTTAGTGTGTCTGAACCACCTAATGTTCTGAAGTAATTAAACATGCATATGCTGACCAGTAAAAGACTCCTAGAATTGATGCTCCAGTCTCTCGGGGTCCTGTGCTACCAACGTTGACATTAACACAGTGGTGAGAAATTTTTAAATATTCTGAGCCTCATGATGTGACCATGCCAAGCACTCTCCCTAAAAGAGTAGATTCTAACCCTTATACGCCGAGTTGAAAGAACAGTACTTCACACACCAGGAAGATACAGGCATGAAGGGGACATTCCTCACAGTTAGGGGAATCCTGATACTTTCCCCACGTTTAATGAAATTATATCAAATGTAAAAATAATCCGACCAACACTTCATCTTTGTTTTCTTGGCTCAGCAATGTATCAATGTGCAATTTTAGCTTTATTTGTTTTTTTGTTTTTTTAAGATTTTATTTATTTATTCATAGAGACACAGAGAGAGAATGAGAGTCAGAGACACAGGCAGAGGGAGGAGCAGGCTCCATGCAGGGAGCCCAATGCGGGACTCAATCCTGGGTCTCCAGGATCACGCCCCGGGCTGCAGGCAGGGCCAAACCGCTGCGCCACCGGGGCTGCCCGCTTTATTTGTATTATAGAGCATATATTTCAGGCAGAATTCTATCACTTAGAAAGGTAACCACTCCGTCCTTCCCAGCAACAACGCAGTAAATGAATAAATAAATAGCTAAACTGCAGGCACGTGTTCAACACTGGAATTGTTATAATGTGGCTCTGCTAAGCACCATTTATAAAAAGACCAGCATAAGATGTAAGAACCAGGTAGAGTCTCTGCCTTTAAGAAGTCTATAATCTGTACATTTGAAGCTAGTAGAAATTAATTCAATAAAACAGTAAAATGATTTCTTGGGCATAATTAACATGACATGCCTTGATCCTCTTTGCTCAGTTACCCTACTCCCTAAGTGTCAGTGTCCACTTCAAAACAGTGTATTCAATAGAACTTACGAAATTTCAAAGTTATAGTTTTCTAAAATGGTTGATTGATTATTCTAAGTGAATTAGTTTGTACACTGTGTTTTCTATCATTGTTTTAACAAATTAGCAAACTTAGTTAAAACAACACACATTTATTATCTTTCAGTTCTGTAGGTCAGAAGCCCCTGTATCTCTGCCTGTGTCTCTGCCTCTCTCTCGCTCTGTGTCTCATGAATAAATAAATAAAATCTTTAAAAAAAAGTATAGGAGGACAGATAATACGAACACGTTCTCTGAGAAAGCCTGGGATTCAGAGCCCCTGTGCCAGGATGTGCTTTCAGCAGGGAGACAGTTTTTTTTTGTCTGGGGAAGAAGACAGGAAAAGAGAAAGCAATGAGGACTTATGTGGATAGAAAGACGTTTTGGAAAAAAAAAAAAAAAAGACGTTTTGGAACCAGACAAGACCATTCCATTTACAAACCACATACCAGCTCTGTGAAGTAGAGGCATGGTCCTAGGACGAGACTGAGGTGAATGGGGGTGAATATGCAGGGTGGAGGGTTTGGAGGGAAGCAAGCCAGGCATAGGATTGCCAGATAACCATGGAGGACCTCATTAAAACCGGAGGGCATGCATCTGGGGTGAACCAGCAATTCAAGCTCCTATTTGTTAAGCCATCATCCCTTTGTCTTCGTTCCTCTACAGTTTGAAGTATGATGTGTCTAGGTGTGAATTTATATTCACTGTTCCTGCTTGGTTATTGCTCTGCTTACCAGAGATCACAGTGTATGGCTTTCAATGACTATAAAAAGCTCACAGCTCTAATTGCTTTGAATATTGCTTTTCTCTGATTCTCTTCCTCTGGAACTCCTTTTAGATACACATTGGACCTTCATGACCCTTAACTCCTCTCTCACACTTCCCAATATTTTTTACTTCAAGTCTTTCTGGCAGTTACTAATTCCCTCATTAACTGCACCTATTCTGTATTTAAACTGTCATTTGAATATTAATTTCTACTAGATTCTTTTTCACTTCTGGAAGCTCTGTTTGGTTAATTATCAAATCTTCCTGCTCTTGATAGATTGGATTTTTTCTTATGTTTTCATTCCTTACTCTAGATATTTTTAAACGTACAATTTTAATTATTATATAAATATTAAATATTCATAGGATAATTGTATTATCTGAATTCTTTATGGTCTAATTCAGCTACTTGTTGCGCATGTTCTCTTTCATAGTGGATTCTATTTTTAGTTGTAAACTCATGTTCACCAGTGCCTTAATGACAAAATTCAACGTAGCCTGGACTGAGGCTATATCCCTCCAGGATGTTTCATATTTATTTATTCTAGAGACCTCAGAGTATTATGATTTCTTACTATTAATTTTATTTTATTTTTTAAACTTTTATGCCAGATTTCCTATTTATTTATTTATTTATTTATTTATTTATTTATTTATTTATTTATTTATTTATTATGATAGTCACACAGAGAGAGAGAGAGGCAGAGACACAGGCAGAGGGAGAAGCAGGCTCCATGCACCGGGATCCTGACGTGGGAATCGATCCGGGGTCTCCAGAATCGCGCCCTGGGCCAAAGGCAGGCGCCAAACCGCTGCGCCACCCAGGGATCCCTTACTATTAATTTTAATGTTGATTTCTCAATATCCGCATTTCCAGACCATCCAAGTATTTTTTTAAATTGACCATATCAAGCAATGAGAACACTTCTACACTGTTCATGGGCTGTAAAATGGCACAACCACTTTGGAAAATACCTTGGCAGGTCTTTTTTAAAGTGAAACGTTCACCTACCATATGACTCAGTCATCCACTCCTATGGTTTTACTCATGAGAAATGAAATTTATGTCTACACAAAGACGTATACATAAATATTCACAGCAGCCTTATTTATAATAGCCAAAGACTAGAAACAACCCAAATATCAATCAACAGGTGAATATACAAATAAATTATGGTCTATCTATATAATGGAATAGTACATAGTAATAAAAAGGAATGACCAACTGATACATAGGACAACGTGGATGAATCTCAAGATTATTATCAAACAGTAGGGTTTCCAGGGAGCTTAATTGTGTTGTCCTTCAGAATCTAGGCAAAAGCTCAAGACAGAGAAGCACTTGTCTAAAAAGGATTTGTGGATCTGGCTTTTGTCCAATAAAGTGAATCCCAGTAAAATCTACAGAGGTCCACAAAGTTTTTGAAAGAAATATATATGTAGAAACATAGCCAGGTTGGACCAAAAGGGACACAGATAATCCTAATTGAAATGAGTCTGCTGGACTCCAAAATTCTACTGGCAGGAAGCAGGCTGAGAAAATTCTCCCTCTTCCTTCCCTCCTTTATTTACTTCCATGATTCTAACATTCACTTGGAAAAATAAGCAATAAAGACTAGAGGAAAAAAAATACTGAAAAAGGAACGTATTTAAGGGAACTAGCCCTCCCAAATAATAATTCATATTATATAACAATATATTTATAATACAATAATTAAACTAGAAAGAATAAGAATTGGAAGCAAATACATATAAAACTAGTATATCCTAGAAGTGGCATTTCAAATTGGTAGTGAAAATGAAGATTTTGAAAAGTGTTGGAGTAGGTAGGAAGTTATTTAGAGAAAAGTAAAGTTGGAGCCACACTTTGCAGTGTGATATGAATGAAATTCCAGAGGAATAAGTTATTTAACTAGAAAAAAAATTAAATCATAAAAGTGCTTAAAAAAAATCCTGGTATTGTTTCTTATCATTGATAAACCTAACTAGATAAAAATGAGAAATTTCTACATGGCACAAGCTGCTATAAGGAAAATGAAAAGGCAAATAAAAAATGGGGGGAAATATTTAGAGTCATATTATAGATAAAAGATCAATTTCCCTAAAGTGCAAAAGGCTCCCCAAATCAATACAGTGTTAGTAGCCTAATTTATTAAATGGCTAAGGCTATGATAAAATTGTCCCCAGTGAGGAAATAAAGATGGTTCTTAAGCACATGGAAAGGCAATCTTACTCAAAAAAGAAATGTTAATTAAAACTAACCTGAAATGTCATTTTTTAACGTATCAGTTGTTCAAGATCCAAAAGTTTGGTAACACACTAAGCAGGAAAACATGCAAGGAAACAGGCACTTCCATACTCTGTCAGTGGAAGTGTTCATAGATGTAACCTCTGTGAAGGACAACTTGACAATATTCAGCTACAAATGTATATACTCTTCGACCTAATACTTGGCTTTTCTGGGAATTTAAACTCCATGTATGCTACTATTTGTATATTATGATAGGTATGCAGACTACAATGTTAAATGATAAAAGGAAGTTGCAGGATAGCATGTGCACTATCAATCTGTTTCTATAAGAGAGAAAAAGAATACACAGTCTAGGGCAGCCCCAGTGGAACAGCGGTTTAGCGTCACCTGCAGTCTGGGGTGTGATCCTGGAGACCCGGGATCGAGTCCCACGTCAGGCTCCCTGAGTGGAGCCTGCTTCTCCCTCTGCCTGTGTTTCTGCCTCTCTCTGTGTGTGTCTCTCATGAAGAAATAAATAAAATCTTAAAAAAAAAAAAAAGAATACACAGTCTACATATTGGCTTACAGATTAATAGAATTCCTCAGGAGAAGTGTGCATAAGAGGCATATTCGATTGGTTGACTCTGGAAAGCAGAATTGTGTGGTGGACGTAAAGAGATAGAAGGAAGACTACGAAAAGGGTGTAACTTCTGAATTTGAAGTCATGTGAGTATATGCTTATTTAAAAAGTGTAAAATTTTTAAAATTCAAAGGACTCCAAGTTTTAGAACTAATAAGAGAGTTCAGCAAGGTTACACAGGATACAGCGTCAATAGTGTTCTATCCACTAGCAGTAGCTAAGTTGAAACAGTAAAAGAAAAACAACCCCATTAATAATGACAACAGCAACAACCACCAAGTTAAATGGTACCTCTATCGTGATTAAAACTACAAAAATGCGGGGATCCCTGGGTGGCGCAGCGGTTTGGCGCCTGCCTTTGGCCCAGGGCGCAATCCTGGAGACCCGGGATCGAATCCCACGTCAGGCTCCCGGTGCATGGAGCCTGCTTCTCCCTCTGTCTGTGTCTCTGCCTCTCTCTCTCTCTCTGTATGACTATCGTAAAAAAAAATAAAATAAAATAAATAAAAACTACAAAAATGCTAAAGGATATTTTAGGAAAAGACATAAAGAGATGCAGAGCTATACTATATTCATGGAAGTTCAGCTATATGGTCATAAAGATGTCAAATGCTTTAAATCAATCAACAAATGAACAAATGTAATGCCATTCTCAAAATTCCAGCAAAGGTTTTCATGACATTTTACAAGTGGAAGATGTATATGGTAAGTAAAGGGCAACAATAGCTAAGATAATTTTGAAGAAAAGGATAAGGAGACTCAAAGCAGGTATGGGAATAGCCCTACCAGATGCCAAAAGTTATGGTAAAGGCACAGTAATTTAAGAGAATATCACTCATTCAGAGATAGGAAACAATCCCAATGGGAAAGAATGGAGAGCCCGGAAACAAACCCATGTGTGTAGTAAAACTTAGTCTCTATAGCTAGGTTTCTGAGACTATGGTCCAAGTCTCAACAACAGCATTTTTAACTTTCTACCAGTGCTTCATTCAGGCATCTAGATAAGACCTACTTACGTATCATCATCATCATCATCATCATCATCATATCTTGGTTGTTCCTTGTCTACTTCAATGCCAAAGGCCATTTCCACATTCCCCTCATCTTCTTTAGGAAGCCATTGTTTTAATGTTCCCACTGTTAAAGAAATAACAGAGATTAAAGCATCCCAGCCTGTATGCATGATGAGAGGTTTATACCCCAAATCCTGTACTGGATAACAACCATGAAGGTAAAACCTTTGAATTATTTCCATTAAAACAGAAAATATGTCAGTTTTTTTTTCCCCCTGTATAACTTCAACCTTGGTGCAATCAAGAGCAATGTTGAGACAGATTTCCTTAAAATCTAAAAAACCTAAAGAGTTCACAAAAGAATTAAAAATGCCGGCTTCTTAAGTTGACTTTAAAACCATGTAGATCTAGCCTTCTTTTGCTGCTCACTTTGGGAATGTTGCTAAATATGTTTATATTACTTAGCTTTTCCAGAATAAACCACCACCTAACTTAGTGGTTTAAAACAGTAACCATTTGTTTAGGTGACTCTTCAGCCGTTAGGCAGTTTGGGCTGAGCTGAGCTGGTTGACTCTTCCAGTCTCAGCTGGCCCCAGCCAAACGTGTTCAGTCACTTGCCAGGCCAGCTGGAGGACGGCTGGCCTACTATGGCCTCTCTTGGGATGGCCTGTCTCTCTTTTCCACATGGCTTCATTTTCCAGCAGGCCAATTGGAGCTAGTTGAGAGACAGGGTTCAAAAAAAAAAAAAATTTGCAGCATCTCCTTGAATACTCAGATTTGGCGCACTACCATTCTATTGCATCCTACTCATGCACACAAATCACTAAGGCCAGTTGAGATTCAAGGGGAAGGGGAAAAAAGCCATTTAATGACGGAGGATCTGCAAAGTCATATTGCAAAGGGCAGGAATACAGGGAAGAGTGAAGACTGTGCTCATTTTGGTAACCTATCAGAATCTGCCTCTCCCACATGCACTCTGCAACCATCTGCTTCCTAGGGGTCTAAACTGTGTTTCATGTTGGTCTCCAGGAAAAAAATCCTACCCACTGCTAACAAGTGGGATTAGAAATAGGAATTTTTCTCCAATGGTGAAATTAAAAACAAAGTGTGCCTATTATTTTGTCTTTTGGTAAACTGAGCATTCAGGTACATACCTACAAGTAGGAATTTTACCACACTGTACTTAAATATTTACCTATTTTTAATCAATATGTGTCACCCCAAATCACAGCCTATATCATTTCCTACAGTACATTATAAAATAAATGAATTGATTGATATAGCTCATCTAGGAGGTTAGCCTGGGTAATTAATAGGAGCCTCAGTATTCCACCTGCTGTGGGAATCATAGTTTTTGTTTTCCTGTTTTAGGAAGACAGTTTTAGGAGGCTTTTATTTTTTGCTTAACAGGATAGAAAAAAGAATGAATAGCTAACTATAGAAATGTAAATCAGCTGTTATCAGGATGTGCATCTCTGATGTTACCAAGGCAACTATGTGGCCTGAAAACTTATACAAGAAAAATGGAGGTTACCTTCCCACCAAGGATCCTCTTGGAGTGGTTAAACTGCAAACAAAATTACTGACCTGAATGAATCATGCACACATTAAAAAAAAAAGTACTTGTCCTTATCTAAAGAGTGTAGCTTATACTAGTAAAAGTCGTTGAAAAGGATTTTACAAAGTCTTGCTATTTTAAACTTAAAGTTAGGATAAATTAAATAGGTAGTTGATAAAGTTTCATTTTTTTTTTAATTTTTATTTATTTATGATAGTCACACAGTGAGAGAGAGAGAGGCAGAGACACAGGCAGAGGGAGAAGCAGGCTCCATGCACTGGGAGCCCGACGTGGGATTCGATCCCGGGTCTCCAGGATAGCGCCCCGGGCCAAAGGCAAGCGCCAAACCGCTGCGCCACCCAGGGATCCCCAAGTTTCATTTTTTTAATGGAATGCAGGGTTAGAAGCATTAAAGCAATTTATTTTCAAGGAGTTGGAAGTTTAAGCTAAAGAATGTTGAAGGATGTGAATCGTGCTTAAATGTATGCCCAAAGGCTAATCCCTGAAAGCCTTTATAAACTGCCTATTAGACTTGCAATCAAAGTTATTAAAACTTACACATGCAGGAAGTCTTCATGAAGATTCTAAACGGTCATAAGAATTATTTTTCACATTATAATTTCCCTATCCAACTTGATGCCAATATGAATGTTGGTAATCACATGCCTTTACATAAAGTAATACTAAAAATGTGCTACAGTTTTATGTTCATTCATAAAGACGATGGCCACCTGCTGAGTTCTAGGCAGGAGGGAGAGACAGGTGAAGCAGGGTGGTAATCAAGACAAAGCTCTCGTAAGCTTACAGTCCAGTGGGGAAGAAAGATAATAAGAATAGGAAATTAAAGGGAACTTGATTTCTATGATCAGAGAATCACAGTGTCTTGTGGGGTATGTGAGGCCAAACCTAGAGGCATAGCATGCTCAGATCTTTCTTAATCATTTAAACAGTGGCTTCCCGTCAGTGGCACACAGGCAGTAGTTTGAGATCCAGGTTTATCATAGCAATCACTAAAAATTCAAGTCAACTCCTGCATCTTTGTATGACATGAACTTAAATGATAAATATAGTGATGAAATGTCACTATTTCATGCACTGAACAAATACTTGAACATGAATGAATCTGAGCATGAGACTGAATATGAAATTGTCAGAATCAGCTAACAAACTTGAGGACTTAGTAGAATTTTTTGGATTAAAGAGAAGCATATAGAGTTACAGGGTCTTCCACTCATTCATGCAAAAGAGCACATAAGAATCGACATTATTCCGGACCCCTTTACAAAGAAAGCCCTGCCGGGTGGTACAGGGAAAAGCACTGAGAGAAGGGTAACCGCCCATGACACCTAGTGACAGAAATGGTAGTTTGCAGGAGGAATTATCCTGGCAGAAGGAGGCAGGGATTCTAAACAGGGAGAGCCGATGGAGGAGTATCTGCTAGTGGGGAAGGGCTGGCCAACCCTGGCATTGCGATGGGCCAGGCCCATCGTCACAGAGAGACTGGATTTTATCCTGAGGGTAAGAGGGAATCTATTGCAGGATTTTAAACCGAAAAGGGATTTGATCTGTTTTAGGAGGATTATCTGTTGGGGGTGCAGAAGGTTAAGGTAACATAAGAAAAGATGATCAGGAACAGGAAGTCAAGAGGCCAACAGCAGTTAGAGGCAGAGCACAGCTGGACTGGGAGGGGTGTCAGCACCCCAGCAGGTTGCAAAGGAAAACATCTGCGCTCAGCTTTAAAGGCACCTTTGGAGGCAAATTCCTATTTCCAATCTCAGGTTGGTCAGATAAAATGCTCGTATATGCCCAATGTAAAACCATCCATGGAAAAATACAGTAAGTTTGTGAACTAATTAATTTGGCATGACAGACCAAATGAAGAGTTTTCTATGACTCTTTCTGAGAAAAACAGGAGCATATGCAAGAAGAAACATCATAACCACCAAGTATGTCACCACCTCCGTGTCTTGAAAGGTGAGTGCCATCCTTCATACCTGGCCCTGTGGTCCCAGGGCTTGGCTTCCAGGCCAAGCCAGGTCGGCCCAGAGCTTCCTCCTCACTGCCTTCAGCGCCACCCTTAGGGACAAGCCTTATTTTTTTTTTTTAAGATTTTATTTATTCATGAGAGACACAGAGAGAGAAGCAGAGACACAGGCAGAGGGAGAAGCAGGCTCCCTGCGGGGAACTTGATGCAGAACTCGATCCCAGGACACTGTGATCACGACCTGAGCCGAAGGCAGACATGCCCAACCACAGAGCCACCCAGGTGAGGGACAAGGCTTTTATCCCAGGACAGAATGGAAGGGGGCAAATGGACAAAACACTGCTTTCTGTAATCTGAAGGTATTATAAAGAGTCTCAAGGCGGGCGTTCCCCGGGGGGCTCAGTGAGTGAGCACCGCCTTCAGCCCAGGACGTTCGGTACGTTCTTGGAAGATGCAACTTTCACAAAGATTTCACAAAGGTTGCGAAGTTCAGGCTTCACCAACTGGCAAACTCCCTCTTGGGTGGTAGGTACTCACCTTCATTATTCTTGGGGTGGTACATAGTTTTGTTTTGTTCTTTAATTGGTAAGTATCTGTTAGCCTCCATGTACCTCACTTGTATCTCTGCCTCTTCGCCACCACAATTTCACAGGGTCCCTAACCTTGCGCCTGTGCACATACCTGCCTGCCTAAGGCGGCCTTCCTTGTCGCAGGGCATACCCACATGCCTGACCAAAGACCAAATCCCCCTGTGACATGAATCCCCTCAAACTTTTGAAAAGGATAGTTGGCTTCCCATAAGGTAAACACAAGGATAATCTTGCTAAAAATCAGAGGCAAAAAAAAAAAAAAAAAGAACAAAAGGAAAAAGCCAAGAAACTATATTGTGATGTACTTTCATTGCCTATGGAATAGTGATTTGTTGAATAGCTCTCAGAAATACACTGTCAGGTAGAGCTAAGCAGTACCAGCTTATCATCTACAAAGCCAGCTTCCCTACTTATTTTCAGCAGTTGTCAACTGACCACATTTAAGAAAATTACCCACTCTTTTCGGAAGCTCGAGTCTTTTGTTAGTGGCATTTCGAACAGGCTTGGACACAGCAAATCGGTTTCTGACGAGGCTGAGACCTCCCCAGCCCTCTCACCAGGCCTAAGGTATTTTTATACCCTTTCTGCATTTCCAAGTCTCTGAAAAAATCCCTCAGGGGCCTGGTTATGTTCTTAAAAATAAACTGCATACCCAATTCTCCTTCGCTGGCAGAAAACGAACTACTTGTTAGATGTGCTGCAGCCAACGTGCTCATTAAAGTTCCTGGCGCTTCCTGCCGCCACCGTCTTCTATTTTCTGGAACGCCTTCGGTCACGATCCCTCGGCCACCTGAAGAGGAGACTGTGTTACTGAAAATAAAAATGCTTTATTTGAATTCTTCTAAAATCACAGAATGTGAGAGCCTTGGCGGTGACCTAATCCCACCCCTCCTGTTACCACTAAGAAAATGGTGATAGAGAAAAAGTTTAGTGACTTATGTCACATCACGTGGCTGATGTGTAGGAGAATCACTTGTTTGCTTTGTAAAGTGGCCACTTTGGTGTGTTAAATTTTCTATTCTACTTGATTATTATAAACTGGTCTTATTGTCTCCTTGGCATAGGACAGATTACCTTGTATCTTGTTTGCAAGCCCTTTCTTGCAAGTTTGAGGACTTCAGTGGTTCGTAATGCTATCATTGTAAGTCATATTTCAATGTATAAAATAGGTATAGATTTTAGCTCTCTCCCAACCCCATGTTATCAAGAGGAACACAGGAAATAGATAATAAAATTCCCCATCACCTGTAAAAAGAACACCCAGATGTTGCTCTGAACTCCTGTGCAAAGACTATGCCAGAAGCTCAAATGTAAACAGAGGAATTTAGTTTTGAAATATCATCATATTCTAAACACTCTTAACATTTAAATAGCACATTGGCTTACAAAGCAATTTTTTTTTACAAAGCAATTTTATATGTATTTTTGCACTGCTAACTAAAAGTCTTTTTTTAAAAAAGATTTATTTATTTATTTATTCATGATAGAGAGAGAGAGAGAGGCAGAGAGAGAAGCAGGCTCCATGCAGGGAGCCCAATGCAGGACTCGATCCCAGGACTCTAGGATCGTGCCCTGGGCCAAAGGCAGGCACTAAACCGCTGAGCCACCCAGGGATCCCCTACTAACTATAAGTCTTATGGGATAGCTAGTATGTTAATTTGGATTTTATTGATGGAAAAACCCCTCCAAGAAATTCCAAGGAACTAATTGGGCTAGCATGGGAGGCAAGTCAAGCCAAATGCCCTTCCTTAGACAATCCCCCTCACTGCAAGGAAAGTGTGGTTCTACACCTTTTCTCTTTTATATTCTCATACCCGGAATGGTCAGTTGTCTAGGATAACTAGCAGGCAAGGTTCTCAGGAGGTGAGGGAGATACCAAAATAATATCTTTGAAGGCATTGATACCAAATCTGTAGGGATTGTATTGAAAAGGGAACTAGGGAGTCGGGGTGAGTGCCAGCAACACAGCTGCATCTGAGGCCTTGTCTCCTCTGCGGGCAACTTTGACTGACTGAGTGTAGATTCACCTGCAGGCACAGCGGAGCAGGTGGAGGTAGTGTTACCCGCAGCCATCATCTCCAGCAGTCTGAGGAGCCCGCACATCCCACTGTCTCCCATTCCCTGCAGCAGCACCAGTATCTTGAATGAACAGCTCTGGGTATGAGAAAATAACTCATTAATTTTAAAGTAAAATGCAATAACTAATTGCACCAAACGGTTCTTAGGAGATCTGGAGGTAGTCCATCTGTTGGTACACTCGGAAACACAGAAATTATCACCTCCTCCTAATACAGATTGTTCAGGCTGAGTGCTTGTATCCAACCTCCCCCCAAATTCCTATGTTGAAACCTAATGCCCAACATGATATTGGGAGGTGGTGGGAATCTTTGTGGGGGGTGATGAGGTCATGAGGGTGGAACCCTTGAGAATGGGCTTAGGGCTCTTTTACAAAAGAGCCCCCACAGGGCTGCTAAGTGAGGACATAGCGGAAACATGGCAGTAGGCCCTCATCAGACACCAAGTCCGTCAGCGCCGTGATCTTGGGCTTTCCAGCTTCCAGAACTGTGAGAAATAAGTGTTTGTTGTTTATAAGCCCCAGAGTTAATGGCATTTTGTTATAACGGCCCAAACGAACTAAGATATAGATCGTAACTTAGAAGGCCAAAATTATAAACAGGCTTAAAAATTGTTTCATTTTTATTATTAACATGTGAGAGACTAGACAGTATATCTAAATGTTAACAAATATTAGTGACAGGAACGGACAAATTCCTTGAGGCAACTCTGAGCATTTGACTTCAGTCAGTTTCAATGGAAGTGCAATCAGTTGTTATCTTTTTTTTTTTTAAAGATAGATTTATTTATTTGAGAGACAAACGGAGTGAGAGTGGGTTGGGGCTGGCAGTGGGAGACGGAGAGAGAAACCCAAATAGACTTCACACCAAGCACAGGACTGAATTTCACAGCCCTGAGGTCAGACCTGCGCTGAAACTAAGAGTTGGCCACTTAACCAACTACACTACCCACACAGCCCCAGTTCTGTTATCTTCATTTTTTTTAACTCGCGACCCCTGGTTTACAAGACCAGCGCTCTAACCCCTGAGCTATAGGGCCTCGCGGGCGCTTGTTATCTTCATTTTTAAAATCATTTTCTTTCTTTACTACTATGTTTCATGATAGCAAATACAAAAATAAGATAAGTGGAAGAAAATAAAAATCACCCATAATCTCACCACCAAGAATCTCTTAAGATTTCAAAAATCTCCCCTTGGATATAGTGTCTTTGTCTTGAAACAAAAATGGGCCCCACACTATGCATAACTTTCATAACTTGCTCTTTTCAATGAACAACATATCATACCCAGTTTATTAGCTGCTGCTCTATACAACCATTTTCTTTTTTTTATACAACCATTTTAAAGGAAATACAGTATTCTGTTTCATGGGTGTATTATAATTTAATTCTTTATGATTAGACGGTTAGTTTGCTAGCCATTTTTCAATATTATAAATAATACTACAATGAAATAATTGCAGCTAAATGTTTGTGGACATTCATGATTATTTACCCTAAACTATTGAAGGTAACAATTCTAGGGACAAGTATTATATGCTTTACCAAAACTTTTCACTGCTAACATGGAACCTAGTACTAATTTACTCATGACTGTGTTCCATATATTTTAAATAGCTGGTTCTTCCCTATCAAAAAAAAAAAAAAAAGCCAACTCACCTATATTTTCTTTTACTTCATTTTCTTTAAAAAAAATTTTATATTTAAATTCCAGTTAACATACAGTGAAATATTAGTTTCAGGTGTACAGTGTAGTGTGCTTCAGCGCTTCCATACAACACCTGGTGTTCATCCAAGCGCCCTCCTTAGCCCCCATCATCTGTTTCACCCAACCCCCACCCACCTCCCGTCTTGTACCCATCAGTGTGTTATTTGGTTTCTTGGTTCTATTTCTTGCTTTGCCTCTCTCTCTCTCTTTTTCCCCTTTACTCATTTGTTTTCTATCTTAAAATCCACATGTGTGTAATCATATAGTATTTGTCTTTCTCTGACTTACTTCACTTCACATAATATACTCTAGCTCCATCCATGTTGTTGCAAATGGCAAGATTTCATTCTTTTTTTAAAGATTTCATTTATTTATTCATGATAGATATATATAGAAAGAGGTAGAGACACAGGCAGAGGGAGAAGCAGGCTCCACACAGGGAGCCCGACATGGGACTCGATCCCGGGTCTCCAGGATCACACCCTGGGCCAAAGGCAGGCGCTAAACCGCTGTGCCACCCAGGGATCCCCAGATTTCATTCTTCTTGATGGCTAATACTCCATTGTGTATAAATACCATATCTTCATCCATTCATCAGTCGATGGACACTTGGGCTGTTTCCCTAGTTTAGCTATTGTAGATAATGCTCCTATAAACATTGGGGTGCTTGTCTCCCTTTGAATTAGTATTTTGGTATTCTTTGGGTAAATGCTTGTTGTATTATTGCTGGATCATAGGGTAGCTCTATTTTTTGCTTTTTGAGGAACTTCCATACTGTCTTCCATAGTGGCTGCACCAGTGTGCATTCCCACCAACAGTGCAAGAGGCTTCCCCTATCTCCACATCCTGGCCAACACCTGTTTTTCTACTGGTGTTGATTTTAGCCATTCTGAAAGGTGTGAGGTAACATCTCACTGTAGTTTTTTTTAAAGATTGTATTTATTTATTCATGAGAGACACAGAGAGAGAGAGGCAGAGACACAGGCAGAGGGAGAAGCAGGCTCCCTGTGGGGAGCCCAATGTGGGACTCGATCCCAGGACCCTGGGATCATGCCCTGAGCTGAAGGCAGATGCTCAACCACTGAGCCACCCAGGTGCCTCTCATTGTGGTTCTGATTTCCATTTCCTGATGATCAGTGATGTTGAACATCTTTTCATGTGTCTGTTGGCCATCTATCTCCTTTGGAAAAATGTCTATTCATGTCTTCTGCCCATTTTTTAACTGTATTATTCATTTCTGAATAATGGGTGTTGAGTTATATAAGTTCTTTATATATTTTGGAAACTGACCCTTTATCAGATGTGTCATTTGGAAATATTTTCTCCCATTCCATAGGTTGCCTTAGAGTTTTGATTGTTCCTTTACTCCATTTTCTAATCTGTAACTTCATTTTTTATATATAAACTCTGGTTTTTCAAAAATTTATTTTGTTGTATCATTATACAGGATCTGTTTTCACAATTTTTCCCAAATTGTAAACCAATTGGCCTAGCAGCATTTATTTGATTGAGCCTTCCTTTTTTTTTTAATTTTTTATTTATTTATGATAGTCACACAGAATGAGAGAGAGAGGGGCAGAGACATAGGCAGAGGGAGAAGCAGGCTCCATGCACCAGGAGCCCGACATGGGATTCGATCCCGGGTCTCCAGGATCACGCCCTGAGCCAAAGGCAGGCGCTAAACCGCTGCGCCACCCAGGGATCCCTGATTGAGCCTTCCTTTCCCATTGACTTGTGATGTCACTTTCAACATACACTAAATTATTATCCATCCTAGAGTTTGTTTCTAAACCATATCTTCTTTTCACTGCCTTATCTATTCTGGTGTTCCTATCATCTTGTTTTATAATTTATAGAATATATATTGATATTTGAAAGTGTATATACCACTTCACTGCTTTTCTTTTCTAAATCTGTCTGCTTAAGAGTCTCCAAGATTCTCCAATCTGCCATGATGTCCCCATCTTTTTGTGGTTTTGACGATTTTGATTGAAATTGGCAACAAACATATGATATATTTATCTGGAAAGAATATTTCTAATACGTAAGTGTTATTTCTCCCCATTTATTCAAGTGATCTTTAATAATTTTTTTAATTTTTATTTATTTATGATAGTCACACAGTGAGAGAGAGAGAGAGAGAGAGGCAGAGACACAGGCAGAGGGAGAAGCAGGTTCCATGCACCGGGAGCCCGACGTGGGATTCGATCCCGGGTCTCCAGGATCACGCCCTGGGCCAAAGGCAGGCGCCAAACCGCTGCGCCACCCAGGGATCCCTCAAGTGATCTTTAAATACCTCAGTCAATTTTTAAAGTATTCTTCACATGCTCAGCATAATCTTTATAAAGTTTGTTCCTAATCATATATGTACATACACACACATTCACACACATTTGCTGTTGTTACTGGAGATGAGATTTGAAAACCAAATGACAAAAATACCTGCAATACATATTACAGGTAAAGCTTTAACTTAAAGAGTCTTATAAAGGATAAAACAAATGCCATTTTCAGTGGATAAAAGAATGAAGGATGAGAACACATAATTCACAAGAGACATGGATGGTCAAAACATATGGAAAAGTTTTTTTCAACCTGAATTATAATTACAGGAATGCAGACAAGTTAAAAGACCATTTTCAGTATCAAACTGAAATTATTTTAATAATTAAAAAAAGAGGCAACTCTTTCTTTTGAGACCTACAACTTGCGATATCTTCCCAGCAAACTTAAGCAAAGAATAACTTTGGAATTCATCACTTTCACTCAGGCCACCAAGGGCTCCCGGTGGCCAGATCCATAGGCTGTTACTCAACCCACCTCACTTGGCCTTTCTCTTTAGTTGATGCTGCTAACTCTGTATTTCCTTCTAGAACTTTTTCTCCTCCTTTGGCTTCACTCTCTCTGGATCTCTCCAAAACTTGTCTAAACATTGCTAAGGTCTATCTTAAGCTCCGTTTTCTTCTCACTCTAGTTCCTCTGCCTAGGCATTTTTGACCATCGCTAAAGTGATTATAATACCTTGTGTATGCTAAGGAAACCCTGATTTGCCCCAGCGCTTTGGTCTCACACGACTAGCATCTTCTAAGCGTCTCCAGCTGAGGTTCATAAAGAACTAAATCCCCATCTGTCCCAAATCTAGAGTGGGATCCTATGTCTGCTGACCTCCCTCTGTGTGATGTGTGTACCTATTTGGTTGGTGACAGCTTCATCCATCTGAATTAGAAAACTGGGAGGATCCTTGACCTCCTTCTCTTCCTCAACCCTGACACTCAGTGGTTCACACTTGGGATCTTTCTCACCACACTCCTCTGGCCAGTGCACCTGTCATTTCCCACCTGGACTGTTATCCTCCTGCCTGCAGTCCTGATACTCCACATCATCCTGACACTGTAGCCAGCACGATCTTTCTCCATCATAGATAGAATTTAATTCCCTTTGATTGAAGGTCATCACACAGGATAAAGCCCAAGCTCTTTAGCATGCCAAGCTCTGCAGGAGTGGGCACCTCCCTGACTCTAGCCAGCTGGCACTCTAATGATGATTAGTATTTGGACTCAGAAAACATGTTTTCTGCCTCCTTTCTTTGACTCAGGACACATGGCGATGTCGAGGGCCGACCCAGTTTTCATTCATCTTTGAGATCCCTACCATGTAGCACAGTCTAAGCACATGGGAGATTCTCATAAGATGTCTGCTGAACTGAATACAGGTTTTTTCAGATGGAAATGAGGTGAAATATATTATTCCAGGAAGAAGACACAGAGCCAAGCCAGGGTGTGTAAATGCTCACACAGCTGTAAGAGCCAGGGGTGCTCCAGGAGGCTATATGGATCCTGTCATCAGTGGTAGGAAAGAGGGGTGCTGGTCACCACAGGATCAGGCCCCACAGCGTTCAATAGGACACTATGTGGAATGGACTATGGGGAATCCTGCAGGCATTATCCCAAAAAAAAGTTGAAGTAGAAGAATAATATAATGATATAATTCTAGCAGCCATATAGAGAATGAAGGAGAAAATACTAGAGAAAAGGACACATAGGAGAATAAGGCAGTACAGTGAGGTGCAGAGCATTTATTAAGCACATACTACGTGCCAGGTACTTCATATATCAAGTTTTGCTTTAGTCCTCACAATAAGCCTGTGTGGCAAGTACTATCATCCCCGTTCCTAGGAGGAAGCTGAGATTCAGAGTATTGTCATCACTTGTGAAAGGTCACACAATCAGAAAGTGGCAGTGCCCGCTGGAATCCAAACTCTCATCTGTCTCCAAAGTCCATGCATTCACTACCACACCATACCGCTGCAGACGACAGGGCCCCAGACCAGGGGCCGAGGGAGCGAAGGAGGAGGAGAGCCCACCCTGGCTGTGCAGCAGGAACTCTCAACCTGCTGCTGGCAGTACCCGAAATAAAGGATCGATGGGAAGGACGAGCTCTGAAATTCAACTGGACAGATGCTGAGTCTGCAAGGCCAGTGGGATTTGTCCATGGAGGCTTCCAGCAGATAATGAGAAAAGTGGATGGCGTGGAGCGGCTGGCTGGGGGCAGCTGCCCAAGGAGACAGCTCAGAGCAAGAGCAAAGGGCTGGGTCTCTGGTGACAGAGGAGCTGGGGTAGGTGACAATGGGGTTGCAAGTGAGTGAGGAGGGGGGCTGTGACGGATTGCTGATAAAACATTCCTTCTCACGTACGGCTTTCGAGGGGCACGATACATACCTGCCTCTGGACAGCAGAGCTCTTCAAATGCTTTGTCTGTATAATCTTCATATTCCTTCACACATTTATATTCCTTAAGCTTCATGCCATCCTCAAAGGTCAAAGTTTTCATTTTGCACACCCACTGCCTAAAGCAATACCACGGTGTTCGACAACAAGCCATATTTTGATAAAAAAAAATATGTTGAAAAATGTTTTTGCATTCCCAGTAATAAAGTTACCAAGGCATACGGTACATATGCAATATATGTATATTAAACAAATAAGTTAGTAGCATTTTAACTGGAACGATGTTTGAACAAGATAGAAACAGGGGTGTGTTTATTTCTTCTCCTTGTCAGTAGTGACAATCACATAGTGATCATATGGCAACTTGATTTTAACCAGACTTCCTGTCTTCGATGTTATTCTCCAGCAGTTCCGTTCTATAGGACGCTCAGTTATCTCACCTTATAGAACGCCCTGCTTTAAGTGTACAATGTTCCCACTGGGTCCCAAAAACTGCTCCTAATACCCCATAATCAACACTAAAATGATCATTCTGTTTCAAGCACACCAAAGCATCAAGTAACCAAGGGTGAACACCCCGGCAGATAAAACTTTTTGACTCCATTCCTTTATACCACCAGGCCTACCTCAGTGCCTGGCTTCATAGAAGGACTGTGGATGTACCACCCCAACCAGAAACAGGCCCCCTCCGACCCTCCTAAGCCTGTGATGCTAAGATGCCTAAGGCTTAAAAGAGAGGGGAGAGTCAACAACCACCACTCGAAGAAGCCTCTGTGTGGCAAAATGGTAGGACAAATCTCAAAGGTAAGCAGTGCACAGAGGATTTTTAGGGCAGTGGATCTATTGTTCATGGTACTGTAACGGTGAATATGTGTGAATATGTGTCGTTACATCAAATCCCACAGAACGTATACCAAGAGTGAGCCCTAATGTGAACTATGGACTTTGGTTAATTACGATGTGTCCATCTGAGTTTACCAGTTATAACAAATGTTCCATCCCAGTGGGGGTGGGGGATGGGGGTGGGTGGGGAGCTGTGCATGTGAGGGGACGAGGTATAGATGGAAAATCTCCGTACCTTCTGCTCAGTTTTGCCATGAACCCAAAACTACTCTAAAACATGAAGTCTACTCAAAACAAAAAAATCTAAAAGAAATGATAACATTAAAAAATGTTTAGCTAATGAAGGACATGAAAGAAAGAAATCGAGTATCAGATGTGATACAGAACCTATCTGTCCACACACATAACTTTTGGTAATTTATTTTTTTTAAAGATTTATTTATTTATTCATTCAGAGAGAGCGAGAGAGAGGCAGAGACACAGGCAGAGGGAGAAGCAGGCTCCATGTAGGAATCCTGACGTGGGACTCGATCCCAGGTCCCTAGGATCACACCCCGGGCTGCAGGCAGCACTAAACCACTGCGCCACTGGGGCTGCCCAGCTTTTGGTAATTTAAAAGGCAAAGTTAGAGAAGGTGAAATGGTAACACAAACCAGTTGATTTTGATGTTTGTTAGTAGGTTGGTAAGAAGTGGGATTAAAAGGGATGTTGAATACGAGTAATAAAATGAGACTTGAGTCTACTGTATTCGTGCATTTATCACTGTGTCAATGGGAGCTCAAGTGTATAATTGAGATTCATCCAAAGACCAACACAAAATTGTCAATAGCTAATTAAGACCTAAGATAAATGTGCATGGTTTCAGGGTATCCGCTCAATTTTTTTAGTAAGTGTATTGGTTGTTGACTATAATTAAGTCTTCTATTTTAATTTGGCAATAACGGAGAAGTTAATATTATAAGGAAAATAATTATTTTATAAAAGAAAAGTAAATTAAATTGGAATAATCCATCTAAGGGAATTATCTCAATGAAAAAAAAGAATGGAAGGATAAAAAGCATTTTGGAAGACTCCTTTGAACCAGAGATCCTTCTAGGAACATTTAAGAAAATTCTCCCTATGGCCAGTGGAAAAATTTCATTAAATGTGCTATTAAGACATTTGTTTTTTTTTATACCTGTTAATGGAAATAAATACTTCATGGCATACCTCTTCCTCTTGGAGGGTGTTTTCATCAGAAGTACATTGGTTTAAACCAATTTCAAGCTTCACCCCTCTCTAGAAGAAAGCAATGAAAATAGTGTTAGCTTAGCAATCCAATAAAAATGCTAAAATTACAACTCCTATTTGACATTACAGATACTTAAAACCACTAGTCAAACATCACAAAATAAGGCAATTCCATAAAATAGTAGAGGGAAAAATCCTGTAGGTAACCCGGATTGCAAGGTGGTGTGATGTTCACACAACGTGGTCTACAAACATAGGCCAGCTATCTCATCTGGAGCTCTACTGGAAATGCAGTGACCCGAGACATGGAAGAATGAGTGTCCAATGTGGCACCTTTAAGGGATATTTCAGGAATCAGTTTTTCAAGTCGACTGCACTCAAATGTGGTCCTACCCAGGCTTTTGAGCCTTACCCTGCATGTGAGGCTATGCCAATACAGCTGAGTTCAATCAATGCTCATTCTTGCCCCTACCTTATGGGCAGGAACTTACTTTCTGCAACTAATCTAGTTCTGGTGTAAAGTAGCTGCCCTGTCAATAAGTGTTAACTGATTCGTGAAGAAGACAATGAATGAGGATTTTTAATAACAACCATTCCTAACTGAGAGTCTCAGATATCCTCACCAGCGTGGGTGGTCTCAAGTAAACCATAATAAAAGCTTCAATTACATGTTTGCTTTCCCATTAAAAGTTTAGATGATGACATTTTACCCTTTCTACAAGGAAATCATCACTCTTGAAACCTGCTTAATTTAGTTAGATCTAAATCAGGAGAACCATGTTTCCTTTAGGAGAAAAATTCATTCAGCTCCAGTTCACTCCTCATCTTCTTTTTAATTTCCTTCATATCATTGTGGTACTGTTAACATATTTCCTCTAACTGCTTCCAATATTCCTGGAAAATATTCCCAATCCAAAAATTTTAAATGGTGGTGAACAACTGAACAGAGTAATTTCCACAGAGCCTATGGATTTAAAGAATGTGTGATACACAGTAGGAATTTGAAAACCTCGTAGTCCTAAAGATGATAATCTACCTTACATTCAGCTGTGGTACTTCCCTCCCTGTGAGCGATAGGGTGGCTTTGGGCAATCTCACTTTTATATTTAACCCAGAATGTGTTAATGGCATACCATTACTTTATATATCCCACTTTTATGGGTTGAATTTTATTGCCCCCTCAAAAAGGTATGTTGGAGTCCTAACCCCGAGGACCTTATTATGTGACCTTATTTGGAGATAGTGATACTGCAAATGTAGCTGGTTAAGCTAAGATGTGGTCATAGGGGAGTAGAATGTGTCCCTAATCCAACACAACGGGTGTCCTTGTAAGAAGACAGGTCTGTGAAGGCAGAGATGCACAGGGCGAATGCCATGCGATGACGGAGAACGGAATCATGCAGTTGCAAGCCAAGGAATGTCAAACATCCGTAAGAGGCAAATGATTTCCCTACGGGTTTCAGAGGGAGCATGGCCCGGCTGACACCTTGATTTTGGACTTCCAGCCTCCAGAACTGGAAGACAATACATTTCTGTTGTTTTAAACCACCCAGTTTGTTGTGCTTTGTTAAGGCAGCCCTAGAAAACTAATACAAATTTCAAAAATGTTAGTGGTGCATAATGGCTTTATCAATCCAAGGTCAAAAGCTTTATGAACTTTGCTATGTGACATCCTCTGAGGAAGTAAAATCCATATCTTTGCATCTCCTGAAACTCTCAACATGGAGCTTCGCTTGAGTGTGTCCAAGTATTGTGCAAGAGGGCTGTCCCTCAGGCATAGTGTAGACACTAAAAATAATATCCTATGCAGCACAGAAGACAAGGATGCAGGTACAGTGGTGGCCCTGGAATCAGACTGTTTCTAACCTGTTCTTCGTTTTGTTTCTCCTGATCTGCAGCTCCTGACATCTAGACTCTTCTCCATTACTTCTTAGCTTTTGTCTCTGGTTGTGATCTGACTCAGCATAAGATGGACAAAGACCCTATCAACTGAATAAAATGATTTATAAATTGTACTTGCATTTTATTTTTTTATTTTTTATTTTATTTTATTTTTTGTTTGTACTTGCATTTTAGAAATCTCGTTTGACCTTTGATATTTTTCATTAAACAAGAATTATCTGAATCAAACTCACTATTTGGGAGTGGGTGGTAGAAGTTTCTTCATTTAAAGTATGAAGCTTTTAAAAAGTAAAGAAAATTAATAAAACCATTTATGTTGTTTATCCTACATGATCAATGTTTACACTATCAGGTGAGACACCTGGATTCATTTTCTGAACTAGTAAAGTATAATTGTGAAATTAAAGTTCTGTAAAAGTTGACCACCGTGAAGTAGGGGAATAGAACTAGAGCTCTTGAGCAGTCCAAAATAAGAGTAACAGAAATAGGATGACTATCCAGCCTCCTTCATCCCCAGAACTGTAATACTATACTTAAGGGTAAAGGTTGAGTTTCACTTCAAATAAAATACATAATAACTTTGTAAAAATGTATAGAATTCTAATAAAATAGACTCAAAGAATTGTGGCACTAAAGGGGACTTTCAAGCTTGTCTACTCCCAAACTGTCACTTAAAAAAGGACACTGGGGGATCCCTGGGTGGCGCAGCGGTTTGGCGCCTGCCTTTGGCCCAGGGCCTGATCCTGGAGACCCGGGATCGAATCCCACATCAGGCTCCTGGTGCATGGAGCCTGCTTCTCCCTCTGCCTGTGTCTCTGCCTCTCTCTCTCCCTCTCTGTGTGTGACTATCATAAATAAATAAAAATTTAAAAAAAATTTAAAAAATAATATAAAATAAAAAAGGACACTGAGGCTCAGAGAGCTTGTACGACGTGCCCAAGTTCACACAGCAAGTGATAGAGCCAGAGGAAAAAAATCAGGCTTCCCAGACCCTGATTCAAGCACATTCTCATTATCCTTCTTTAGCTACTAAAAACTGGAGAAGGTGGAGGATAGTCTTGATCCTCTGTGTGGAATGCACTCTGACTTAAGGACCCATGAATATTTGTGAGCAGGAAATTCCTGATCGCCCCTAATAATTGGAATTTTACTTACCAATTGCTTTTCCACTTTCAATTTATATTACTGAGCTTTAGATTTCCCCTGAAGGTATTCAGCAGGCCTTAGAAAATAAAAATGTTCAGCTTGAGTAGAAATTTTAACTAGTCTTAGCCACTAATTTGAGAAGTAGATTTTCAATTTAATAATGAGGTCCACAGTTCACCTGTGGCTTGAAAGTTCTGAGTTCAAGAAATAGTTCAAAGTTACAGAACACATACTTGGGAATCAGAAAGAAAAAGAAGCGAAGAGAACTGTACCAACTGGGGATGCAGGAGAGGATGAAACAGATTTTTCTGTTCTGGTGCCGTGATTTTTCTTCAGGACAGGAAGTCCATCCATGGTCTACAATGGGTAGGAGGGAAAAAGAAAAACCCAATACCAGGATCTTCTCACACTTTGGGCAGGCATCTGATCAACAGCCTTGCCACCCTAGTTGCTTGTCCACTTCCTGCACCACACTCCGAGCTCCTTGAGAGCAAGATGCTGTCCCATTTCTTTACCTCTATTCCTTACGCTGGCACACAAATGAAAGATCCCAAGAAAATAAATGCTGAATGAAAGGTATTTCACTTTTCAATATGTCAATATGATCAATATGATAATTTGATTACAATCAATTATTATGGATTAATAGTAATAATTTCTTTGGAAAATGATATATGTACAACTATTTTCATCCTCCCAGATGGTGGAACTTACCAGAAGGAATAAAAAACATGAAAAATTCAGGAGTATGAATTTCTGCTTATGGTTCAATGGCTCCATGAAAAAGAAAGATAAGCTACAGCACATTTGAGATGAAACAGAGTTAAGGGAATTGTGAATTAAGTATTCAAGATGAAGAGTCTGGAAATTCTTCTTGGATTATTTGTTTTAGGAGAATTGGGAGGGTTTCAGAATAAATGGTATATCAAGATATTTTCAGAGGACCAAAATTTAAGTCAGGCTCTGATATCACCGTTGACCTGGTGATGGACTGTGTGGCTTTCTTCCTGATTATAATTCCCCTCAACTCCAGGATCTTCTTGAGGAACCCAGCAGTAACTTGGTTCGTGTGCTCTCCTCCTCAACATGTCAAGTTGGGCATAATAATAGTCATAATGTCCATGCACTGCAGCAAGTTTGGGCCTTTGTACTATTTTTATCTGAAGGATCAAAAAGAAGAGGAAGAATTGTGAAGACACATAATTAAAATCTCTAATAACTGGCACTTTGATAGTGACCATAACTAAAACAAAGCACCGAAGGTATATTTTTGTTGTTTTTGGTCTAGATTTCTTTTTAGACTAACATAATCTTAGTATCCCCAAATCTTAGAACTTGAAAATATTTTAGAAGTCTAGGTACTACTGTAGCACAGTCATTTATAATTATACTAAGGTGTGAATAGAAATCCTGCATACTTCATGGCTGGCCCACCAAAAATGCTTACCTGGTGAGTATGCCTAGCCAACCTGAGATCTGAAACTAAACTCAGTATTATTATTTTCTATTTTTATTAACTTATTTACATCTTGCTGTACTTTAATAGAGGATAAATGTTATTCCTCAACTCACAAATCTGGGGATTCATAACATGTTTAGATCCTGATGAATTGACTAAATACAAAATGGCATCATGACTCAAAGGAAAGAAGATGCTGAGTTATTCAGTCACCCTTCCCAAGTAAACAAAGGAAAGTCATGCAACAGCTGTGACCGGCATATTATCACCCCAAGTCACCCCTCATTGCCCTTCCCTACCAGAACAGAATGACAGGAGGAGAACCAGAAACAAATGTTTGTCTCGGAGTTAAGTAGAGGCCAGTGAGCTGTAAGACAAGAATCAGATCACATTAACAGATGAAAGAACAAATTAGGGCCAATTTTACATTAACCAGGATAATTGACTACTTACCAGACAATAACAAAAAAGAAAAAGAAGTTCAAACCACTGGAAAGGCCTAGAACTGGTAGCTGGAAATACCAATAACCAAACAAATGGTTTAAACTGAAGTTTCCTCACTGTGAAGAAGGAACACACTATATTCCCTCTTCTTTTTAAAGCTGTATGATTCCTATATATGTAAGTTGAGCCATCTGGGATTGTAGATATTGGGTCATTTTTATTTAAATATTAAAGTATCAAGTTTGGCTTATTAGTCTAAACACAAATTATATATTTATTTTAAAAAATCTTCTAAAGTGTGACATATGTTTCTTAGTGTTGCAGTTTTACCTATATACAACCCCAACAAGGTACTGCCAATTACTTGCTGAAAAATGGCTAAAAATGGAGAAAAGTATTGGTAGGAAATTAACAGCTTCTTTAGAATTTTCTCTAAAATCTCACAAAGTAATGAGAACGTCAGAGGTGGTTCCTGTGGAGACCCACTCATTCCATTGCATAAAATGTCAACTTGTTCTGCTAATTTAATCCATCATTGAAACTTTCAGGTGCTTTTTCTCTCCTCTGAGTCAGCTACAGAGTATGCTAAATCACAACATACTTTTACATTTCTTTTTTTTCTAAGTTTACTTATTTATTAATTTTTGTAGTGATTTCTACACCCAACCTGGGGTTTGAACTTACAACTCCAAGATCAAGCATCCCATGCTTTTCCAACTGAGCTAGCCAGGCGCCCTGACTTTTAGGTTCCTTTAATAAAGTTAAACCACATTCTACCAAATGGAGGGTAATAATTTAACTAATAGTTTCAAAATCTATCTATACACCACCACATTTTCTTTTTCTTTTTCCTTTTCTTACTTTTTTTTTTTTTACAGAGCCACATTTTCTAAAATGTTTATACAGCAAGTAAATACATAATAAACGGACTTCCAACTGGTCCTCTAATTATACAATTACAGCCTTCTTTAAAAATATAATTCTTCGGGCAGCCCCGGTAGCTCAGCGGTTTAGCACCGCCTTCAGCCCAGGGCATGATCCTGGAGTCCCAGGATCGAGTCCCACATTGGGCTCCCTGCATGGAGCCTGCTTCTCTCTCTCTCTCTCTCTCTCTCTCTCTCTCTCTCTCTCTCTGTCTCTCATAAATAAATAAAATTTAAAAAAAACCTGTATGTTCTAAGACCATATCTTAAAAAAAATACAATTCAATTAAAAGACAATAGCATTTTATCATTTGCATACCAGAAACATTCCATTAGCATGAACTAAGAGGCTCAACGTTCTGCTGATGTGGATTCAGCAGAACCAAACATAAAGAATCCCTAGGAAAAAAATAATCGACTATATAATAAAAGTTTCTCAATTATATATACCATGTTAGAATTAAGGGAATGAAGGGCATAATGTTTTCTGCAGCTATACTATTCACTTATCCTATATAGAAAAGCCTTATTTTTTGAGGAAATCAAAAGGGTTTGAGTCGTAAAAAGATAGAATACTTGTAAGGAAATGCAATTGGAAGTTGTCCAATGAAGTATCATTTTAATGCTCCTCACAGAATGATTTCACTACTAAGTACCAAGCCAGCGGACTCCAGAGTAATGAGCCTGTGCCCTCTGAACGTGTACAAGTAGTCCTGGAGAACATGTCCCCTGCTAACAAAGTACAACGTACAGATACAGGCTTCTGGGCTCAGCTGGCGGTCTCCATTCATTTCTACACAGCATCTCCTTCCTTTTAATTGGCGCTGCTAGCCTTGATCTGGGGAGGCACTTTCCCTGGAATCTTGCTTTCTGTATTTTAGGCTCTTATTTAACTGAAATAAAACAACTTCAGTTTCTTTAAAATATCCACATCTTATCATCGATGCTTGTGAGAGTACCAACATAAGGGACAGTTCACAATACAGTAGGTTCACTTCACCCAGCGATGTTTAGACCCATTGAGAGAAGTGCCAGTAGATTTTCTTTTTTAAAGATTTTATTTATTTACTAATGAGAGACACACAGAGAGGCAGAGACACAGGCAGGGGGAGAAGCAGGCTCCATGCACCAGGAGCCCGACGTGGGACTCAATCCTGGGTCTCCAGGATCACGCCCTGAACCAAAGGCAGATGCTCAACCACTGAGGCCCCCAGGTGCCCCTGCATTGTCTTTTAATGGAGGAAACTGTTTAATCCAGGGTTCTTTCACATATTTCTAGTATATATAACACTATTTTTAAAAAATCAGGCATTGGGATCCCTGGGTGGCGCAGAGGTTTGGCGCCTGCCTTTGGCCCAGGGCGCGATCCTGGAGACCCGGGATGGAATCCCACGTCGGGCTCCCGGTGCATGGAGCCTGCTTCTCCCTCTGCCTGTGTCTCTGCCTCTCTCTCTCTCTCTCTCTGTGTGTGACTATCATAAATAAATAAAAAAATTAAAAAAATAAAATAAAAAATCAGGCATTAATGTTAACATTTACAGAAAAATATGCATTGGATAATGGCATAAATAATTATATGGAGTCATCATAGCTTGGGATACAGGTCACACAACTCATGCCACACTGTTGTGTGAAATGTATGATTTTTTTTTTTTTTGAGAGAGAGAGAGAGAGAGAGAGAGAGCAGGAGGGGAGGACAGAGGGAGAGGGAGAGAGAGAATGTAAAGTAGTTCTCTGCTGAGCATGGAGCCCGATGCAGGGCTTGACCTGAGCCCAAATCAAGAGTCAGACGCTTCACCAACTGCATCACCCAGGTGCCCTGTGAAGTGTATGAGCAGGCTTCTAACATGTCTGTGCGTGCCACCAGCAGGCTGTGTTCCTATTTTCTTTTCCTTCCCATATTAGAAATGTTGACAGTGTGCTTTCTCTCATCTGCTACTTACCTGCCTTCTAAATGTTCTCAAACTAAGCCCGTATGTAACAACGCCAGACTGAGTTACACAAGGCAGAGGGACACATTCACTCTTCTTCCCTTGACAACTTGCCTCAAGTCTAGTGTCTCTATCTAACAGCCAACAGATGTTCCTGTCGCTGACTCCTTGGAGAAATGTTCTACTCCTCCTCGTTGTTTCAGTGTAGACATTTGGTTATGACTAAGTCCACACTGCTCTTATTTCACAACATCAATGGAATGAGTAATTTTGTCTTTTTCGACGTCTGTCTCTCTCTCACACCCACATGTATGGAGCACTTCTGCAGCTGATCCTGAAACCACCACTAAAATTGTTTCTCTATTAGTCATTACTGTAAAGTGTCACCTGCTTTCTTCAGGGGCCCTATACTAATCCCCACAGTCACCAGTTAGGTCTGAGATCCTAACTCCAGCTTCAAGTGGCCTTTGCAAGAGCATTCTGAGTCACCAGACCATCCTCTCTGTAGAAAATCAGCTTCATCTCATCATCCCCGGTCTGTCTGTGAACCTTCTCTTCCTCTTCCTATGCAAAAGTTAAGTTATGATCCTACCTTGTGAAGTACCTCTTAATTAGCGAATCCACTGGTTTCTGGAGTTTCCTGACTAATGAGAAGAAAGGATAATGAGTCACCCAGAGCAGGCATGAGCCAGATATACAGGCACAGCCACTAGTCACTATTTTACAGGATGATTCTTCTCTTGCTTATGCTAAATCTATATATACACCTCTATCTCTGTCATATCTCTATCTATCTATCTATCTATCTATCTATCTATCTATCTATCATCAGCTATCTATTTTTTAAGTAGGCTCCACACCTAGCATGGAGACAAACTAGAGGCTTGAATTCAAGACCTGAGCTGAGATCAAGAGTTGGATGTTTTAGGGCGGGGGGTGGGGGTGAATGGGTGACGGGCACTGAGGGGGGCACTTGACGGGATGAGCACTGGGTGCTATTCTGTATGTTGGCAAATTGAACACCAATAAAAAATAAATTTATTATAAAAAAAAAAGAGTTGGATGTTTGGGGCCCCTGGGAGGCTCAGTAGTTGAGTGCCTGCCTTCAGTTCAGGGCGTGACCCCGGGATCCTGGGATCCATTCGCCCCTCGGACTCCCCGCAGGGAGCCTGCTTCTCCCTCTGCCTGTGTCTCTGCCTCTCTCTCTGGGTCTCTCAGGAATAAATAAATAAATAATTTTTTAAAAAGAGTTTGATGCTTAACTGCCTGAGCCACCCAGGTGCCCCAACACTGGTCATATTTTTAAAACATCTATGTTCAGTGTATTTGGTGGAATTTTTGTGCTAATGCTGTCAGCCATATATTAAAACTCACTGTGTGAGACAAACATTAAGAAATGTTTTTCGATCACTTGGATCATTCTTACCTTGGATCCCTCCCCGGCAGGTTGAGAAGTCAATCATCTTGCTTTATGTGTGAGACTGGGATTGAAGTCTCCTGAATGACCTAAGATGAAACACACATGTCAAGGGCCTGCTAACCAAAATCTCTGTCAAAATCCACACAGAAACACCTCTAAAGCTCACCTCAGGAGTAAAGTATTTGGCAATAAGATTCTCTAGAAAGGGCCTTTTCAAAATGGAATTCGTAGACAGTCGATCTCAGGGAGGCACCTCAAAGAGTTGAGATACCAAGGCCTGTGGGTCATGAGCGAACCTTGGTGATATTGGGGCAAACTGTCCTTGGCATAGCTTCAGAACCAGCTGGTGTAAGTTGTTACTCTCAAACTGGAAGGACAAGGAGTAGTGATAGTAAATCAGAGAAAAGTTCAATACTAGCTCGTAAAGTAATATCAAGAGACAAAGCAGTGTTTCCAGCAGGTGCTCACCCCAAGTGCCCCCACACAGGCAGACCCGCGCAGAAACACCCTCACACTTGGGGGGGCCCCTCTGCCTCCACCCTCAGACTGGCTCTTTAGGACTTCGTATTTATATGTGGTTGGTTTAACAAGGAGTTACTTTATAGAAAAAGGTGCCTTATTAAAAAAAAAAGAAAAGAAAATACATTGAGAAGTGAAAGAGTCAAAACCAGTAAAGTGAGGAAATGGCTCTACTATTTATCAACACTTCCCCTGAGTGTGTGCAGGAGGAGGAGAGAGACTGCTCAGGGCTTGAGCAAATGAAGGGTGATGACGGCATAGGTAGGAAACAACTGCTTTCTTGTGCTTTTCTAAGAGTTTCTAGAAACTCACGGTTTCCCTTGACCACCCAATTCTGTCTTCACCAGGTTGTCCCAAGACCCAAATCCTCCCTGTCCCAGAGCGCCCCCACTCAGCACGATCCCGCAGAACACAGGGCCGCCGGGCTGTGTGCAAACATTTGCTAACCTAATTCCTGGCCCCGCGTGTGCTGAGGGACTGGCTTCCCAGTCTACTGGGCGCAGCAGCTCCCCAGCCCATTATTGCTAAGATCTTCCAAGTATCAAAAGCACCAAATCTGCATATTTAAATACCGAGTCAAATTTTTTAAAAAGCAGTACAGAACTAACCCAGGGTGCTTCTCTGGACAGTGTGCGCCTCCACTCGGGCTGCACTAGCTGCATTCCTGCTCACCTAGGGGCCAAACCCCCTCTTGGTATTACGGGCTATTCATAAAACAGAAAACAAACAACAAGAAAAAAGAAGCTTGTTTTTCTATTATGCAGAGAAATATTTACTATTCCTTTTAGAAATCTCTACCATCTGGGCCTTGCCCTCCAGTTATCTCTTACAAAGTCAAACAGTCAAACAGCCCGTGGGTATTTTCCAAAACAAATGGAAAACTAACTCCCAGAAGGAACTCAGTCTTCCTGGTAAAACAACTAGTTCATCTGGCAGCCAGCTCCTAAAAGTGGGTTTTTTTTTCCACCTTCTCCTTATATGGAAGTTAAAGCTTCCTCATGTTCACCGTTCACAATATCAATACTATTCCAGAATGGCAGGCTCTGGTATCACATACCTAGGACTAGTTGGGTCTCAAAGCTGGAACAGTCACCTAGCCAACACTCCCCGTTCCGGCTGGAGGAGCTGGGCCCACAGAGGTCAACCGACTTGGTGGAGATGGTGACGGGGCCAAGACTAGGGCTCCTGGCTCCCAATCCAGTGCTCTCACTGCCTTCTCTCTGCCCCACGCACAACACTGTCCTGTGTTAGGCTTCACAGCGTTCAAAAGGTATGAAGATAAAATAGACACACATCACAGTGACTGCAATTTTCAATGTCAATCTTTTTATCACTTGTATCCTCAAATGAAATGTTTTTCTTCTAAATAAATTCAAAAGCTTCAGGGAACACTGAAGTGGCCAGAGACCGTCACTGGGGTGGGTCCCCATTTCAGAAGTGAAGAAAATGAAATTATGGAAGTATCATAAGAAAGAGAGAATCCACCCACTGTCACTGAGACTTTCAAACCGATAGTCGGCAACCCACGTGTTATTCTTGTGGGTTTATTCTGACAGGTTTCTGGAGACTGGGAGTATGGGGTTTCAGCACAAGTTCTAGCAAATTCCATGGAACCTAGTTATATTAGATTAATTAGATAATTATCAAGTACAATAGATAATAAAATAATATGGTTTACTATGGAAGTAAGAAAAGGCTTAAGACATGGACATGCAAGAAAAAATGTAAAAATGGATAAGACAAAATTCAGTGAACATGCATATTAAAGACAGCATATTGCCTATTAATAACAGAGTAATAAGATTAGCCAATTCTTAAACTTATAATTCACTCCCCCAAAATCTACACATAAAAAAAGTTTTATGGCTAAAGATTCCACAAAGAAGTATGATTGTTGGGATCCCTGGGTGGCGCATCGGTTTGGCGCCTGCCTTTGGCCCAGGGCACGATCCTGGAGACCCGGGATCAAATCCCACGTCGGGCTCCCGGTGCATGGAGCCTGCTTCTCCCTCTGCCTATGTCTCTGCCTCTCTCTCTCTCTCTCTTTCTCTTTCTCTCTCTGTGTGTGACTATCATAAATAAATAAAAATTTTTAAAAAAGCAGTATGATTGTTATATTGCAAAACTCTTAGATGTCCAAACAGTTCTCTCTTTCCAATTACCAAAGTAATGCAGTCTCATGACTTCAAATTTGGAAAATATGGACATGAATAGAGAAGAAAAAAATCACCCAGAATCTTACTACCTCAAAACAGCTAAAATTTGGGTGTATTTCCTTTTTATCTTTTTTCCATGCATATTTTTCATATGGGTGTGATCACAGAGTATTTAAAATTCAGAATTCCGGGGATCCCTGGGTGGCGCAGAGGTTTGGCGCCTGCCTTTGGCCAAGGGCGCGATCCTGGAGACCCAGGATCGAATCCCACGTCGGGCTCCCGGTGCATGGAGCCTGCTTCTCTCTCTCTCTCTCTCTGTGTTACTATCATAAATTAAAAAAAAAAAAAAAACATTTAAAAAAATTCAGAATTCCATTTTTTAAAAAAGATTTTATTTGTTTATTCATGAGAGACAGAGAGAGAGAGAGAAAGAGACAGAGACACAGGCAGAGGGAGAAGCAGGGTCCCTGCAGGGAGCCCCACGCGGGACTCGATCCTGGGTCTCCTGCTGCAGGCAGGTGCTAAATCACAGAGCCACCCAGGGTGCCCAGAATTCCATTTTTGTCTTAATATAACAAAGTTTGTTCTCACATTATCAAGAAGTCTTCAAAATCATACATGTGAATGGCTACATAATATTCAGGTACATGTTTATGCCAAGCTTTATAAAATTTACCCATTTCCCAATGGGCATTAAAATTATTAAAGTTATGGGGCATTTAAATTATTCTAAATTCCAAGAAATTGAATGCTAAAAAAAAAATCTCTTAATATTACCAACAAATTGTCTTCTAAAACAGTTGCATCAATATATTCCCCTGAGCATGTGTGAATTTGCCTGGTTCACTAAATTCTCACTAGCTTTAGGCAAATCCAGTCACATCTCAGTTGATAAGTTTGTATCACAGTTAACAACATTGCCATCATCTTTCTATTATACCAAGATTTATCTTGGAAATTTTACCCTTAGACAAAATATTATCTGAATGATTTAATGAATTTATATAAATAGTTATCTAAAATTATCTGAAACCAAGCTTTTAATATCTTCTTTACTCATGATACCTAAAAATACATAATTTGACTGTTATTAATAGAAAGAAAAATGATTTTTAAAGTACTTATTTGTTCAGAACTCTTGCTATCCCAAAGTCCACAAGCTTTGCAACCATTCCATTCTTGCTAAAAAAAAAAAAAAAAAAAAAAAAGTTCTATAAATGGAGAAAATGCTATGTTGTTGGAGATACTTCAAGAAAGCAAAAGCTCAGTTCTGTCTTGATCTCTTGATCTTCTCTCTGAGCTGTTACTTGCGCTTTTATGCCCCTGTTATATGTTTCCTGTCATGAATATATTTTAGTCCCAGAGAAATCTGTACAAACCAACTCAGAATCTGTAGAAGGAACATGAAACAAAAACTAGTCAGTAGTCTGGTGGTCACTGACATGTCTTCATGATAATATGCAAAAAGAAAGAAATAACATATTTATGTTTATGTATTTATATGAATGAAACTATTAGACATACCATCTTATCACATTATTTTCTTTTTATAGCTAGAAAAATGGAGGTGCAAAAAGGCAATCTAAATGTGCTAATATCAGGCAGCCCGGGTGGCTCAGCAGTTTAGCACCACCTTCAGCCCGGGGCCTGCTCCTGGAGACCCAGGATCGAGTCCCACTTTCGGGCTCCCTGCGTGGAGAGCTGCTTCTCCCTCTGCCTGTGTCTCTGCCTCTTTCTCTGTGTCTTTCATGAATAAAAAAAAAATCTTCAAAAAAAGTAAATAAAATAAATGTGCTGATATCAGAGGGAATTCCACATACAGAAAAAGAGAAGTAGAAGCAGGGGAGAGAGGGAGGCAGTTCATGATATGATTTTTTTTTAACACTAGTTTGCTAACTGCATCAGGATAGCAGATAAACCACATTTCCTGATAATCCTGGTGCCATACGTGTTTCCTTGTCAGTGGAAGGAGGTGCCATGGCAGAGAGAAAGAGGAAGAAGCAGAGACTCTGTGAGGTTATTAAAGTTTTTAATGAAATATCGATCTATGTGTATATGATATAAAAAACTTTTACTTTAAAATTTTTTGGAACTTAATTTCATTTCTTAGTTCTGATTTTATTTTATCTTAGCTGGCCATGAACCTGTTTATAAAAAAATGTGTTCTAGAGGCATCTGAGGGGCTCAGTGATTGAGCATCTGCCTTTGGCTCAGGGCATGACCCTGGGGTCCTGGGATCAAGTCCCACCTTGGGGTCTCCACAGGGAGCCTGCTTCTCCCTCTGCCTGTGTCTCTGCCCCTCTCTCTGTGTCTCTCATGAATAAATAAATGTCTTTAAATTTTTTAAAAGTAAAAAATAAATTAAAAATGTGTTCTATGCCTATAAAGACTCCCTTAAACTATTCCAAAATGTCGTTGGTTCTTTGTCTACCACATTATATGGTAAAAGGAAAACAAAAGCAAAAAGAGCTATACTCCAGATGCTAAGATTCAGTTGTAACTTTAGCTCTTTTCCAACAAAGGGAATTGTAATTCAAAATTTTTGGAGAAAAGAGTTTTTATTAAATACAGCAAAATGATCCCTGGATAGAAAGAAAGGTGGGTTTCTATAAATACTGAATTTAATATATAATGTAAACGAGCATAGGAAGAATGCTTGATTAAAATTACTAAATCTAGAGATACCAGTTCTTGAATCAATTGTACATCGAATCTATTTAGCTCTAGGAGGAAATGACGTAGGCATGAAGTCCTTAAATAGTAAAATAGAGCACAGAAACAAGTGGCCAAAAGAAAGATGGAGGCCATCCCTGTGCCCTGCTCAAAGCAGTGGCCTGCCCCATCCATCACACGGGCCTGAGTCAGATTCCCTTCTACACACACATTCCTGTCTCCTTCGGGAGCACAGCTCCCAAGAGGGTTCCAAAGGAAGCTCAGCACATGGAGGAATAATGTGTTTGTGTGAAAAGAGGATGGGAATGGAGGTCATTACTCTTGACCTTTCTCACCTTCCTCTTCATAATCAATGAAACTAAATGGCCATCGTCACAAAGGGCCTCCATGCTCCCTGGCAAAACAGTACAGCTATTTTAGAACAGTGTGCTAAATGGTAAAAGGAAGAAGAGCAGAATCATTATATTTCACACTTAAAATGGCTGAGGAGCATCCACATTCACATGATTTTAGCCATGAAGATTGATCTCAAGGGCATCCTATATGAGATTGTCCAAAAATACAACACTATCTTTTCTCAAAGTTCACTCTCAGAAAGAGATTCAATTTCAGTTCAATTGCAAAAAATGTTCTGGACTAAATATATCATCAATATAGATCCACTATCTAGTGGTTTGAATTTCTCTACCAGAAATCATGCTGTATATAAGCATGGCTTAGTAGTTAAGGCATTATACATTTAATTCCCCGAATATAAATTAAAAGGCAAATTGGAGGTGTTTTTACCTGATCTTCACGAATAACACTCCCTGCTGTCTATGCATCCTTCTCATGAGATCACCTCCATCACAATATTGCATCACATAAACAGCTAGTTGTTCTCCATAAGAAAAGGGATCATTACCTTCCAT